AAAATTATGAAAAAAAAAAAAAAACACATGTGACTACCTAAACCTATGTTTATGATAGACATCCTTACCTACACATTTTGGCCGATATGTCTTAGTGTATCGAATTTATTTGAATTTGTAATATCGCTAAATTGATGCAAAAAATTAAAAATTATGAAAAAAAAAAAAAAAAAAGCATGTGAGAACTTAAATCTATGTTTATGATAGACATCCTTACCTACACATTTTGGCCGTATGTCTTAGCGTATCGAATCTAATTTGAATTTGGAATATCGTTAAATTGATGCAAAAAATTATGAAAAAAAAAAAAAAAAACACAATGTGACCACCTAACTATGTTTATGATAGACATCCTTCCCTACACATTTTGGCCGATATGTCTTAGCTTATTGATCTATTTGAATTTGTAATATCGCTAAATTGATGCAAAAAATTAAAAAATATGAAAAAAAAAAAAAAAACACATGTGAACACCTAAATCTATGTTTATGATAACTCCTACACATTTGGGCCGATATGTCTTGTATATCGATCTAATTTGAATTTGTAATATCACTAAATTAATGCAAAAAATTAAAAATTATGAAAAAAAAAAAAAAAAAAAACGCATGTGACCACCTAAATCTATGTTTATGATAGACATCCTTACCTACACAGTTTGGCCGATATGTCTTAGCGTATCGAATCTAATTTGAATTTGGAATATCGCTAAATGGATGCAAAAAATTATAAAAAAAAAAAAAAAAACACATGTGACCACCTAAATCATGTTTATGATAAACATCCTTACCTACACATTTTGGCCGATATGTCTTAACTTATCAAATCTAATTGAATTTGGAATATCGCTAAATTGATGCAAAAAATTAAAAAATTATGAAAAAACACATGTGACCACCTAAATCTATGTTTATGATAGACACCTCCACATTTGGCCATATGTCTTAGTGTATCGAATCTAATTTGAATTTGTATATCGCTAAATTGATGCAAAAATTAGGAAAAAAAAAAAAAACCATGTAACCACCTAAATCTATGTTTATATGACATCCTTACTTACACTTTTGCCCGATATGTCTAGCGTATCGAATCTAATTTGAATTTGGAATATCGCTAAATTGATGCAAATTATGAAAAAAAAAAAAAAACACATGTGACCACCTAAATCTATGTTATGATAGACATCCTTACCTACCATTTTAGCCGATATTCTTAGCTTATCGAATCTAATTAATTTGAATTTGGAATATCGCTAAATTGATGCAAAAAATTAAAAAATTATGAAAAGAAAAAAACACATGTGACCACCTAAATCTATGTTTATGATAGACACCTAAACATTTTGGCCGATATGTCTTAGCGTATCGAATCTAATTTGAATTTGAAATATCACTAAATTGATGCAAAAATTAAAAAAATATGAAAAAAAAAAAAAACCCATGTAACCACCTAAATCTATGTTTATGATGACATCCTTACTACACATTTTGGCCGGTATGTCTTAGCGTATCCACGTGTTTCTTTCCATGGTTGCAGCTCATTTGGTAGCAACGTGGCTCAATTACATACCCATAATTTCTTCTATATGAAGAATTTCTATTCCATTTCAACATATGGTCCTCCACTTTTCAATTTTCTTCTAACACGTTCCTTTCCTTTTTCTTATTATTTGAAGTAGAAAGTCTTTTCATTTAAAAGCAAATTATTATCATAGTATTATTACATCTAAATATATCAATTTTACAACCACCTTTTTTTTTTTACAATGTTAATTAATGTCATATCATACTTTAAAATAAAAGATTAATTAAATTGACTATATTTTAGGTTGTTATGTAAAATAATCGCATCCCTTCATGTTTGTTTTATTCACCATCGATGCTAGCCTTTGTAATTAATCTTGGTTCATGTTTTCCAAATGTTTAATCACGTGTTAATTTTTTTTTTTAAATTTTCACCACCAACGTGTTAATTTCTTGATGCCATATATAGTTTATTATTTAGCATTGAGTTATATGTAATGCTAAATAATCTTGGGCGGCCAAAATATTTATTGACCATTATGCCCTCACTTATAATGATTTTTGACCATCTTGTCCTTCATCAAAACTAAAATTATTAACAAAATTATACTTTAAGTAGTAAAGTGGCACTTTAAAAGTTTGAGGGTGGGAAGTTTTTTTTTTTTTGAGAAAAAGTCGTTAACTCTTTAACATTTAAGTTAAATATATATGATAAGATTTAGAGTAAATGACTTTTTCCCACCCAAATAATGGCTTAATGACACTTTTCCACCGACAGACTTTTAAAATATCACTGTACTATGCAAATTTATATTCTGTTTCCGATTTTGGCACCGTTGCAACCACACATCACTACTATTTTCTTTCCCAATAATCACTTACTAAAACCTTTAAAACCTATTTTTACTGACCCCTTCAATCGCCGACAATCAAGTGATTAGGGTTTGCGTAGCTGTCCCTCCCTTCCCAAATCAAATTCTGATCAATCCCAATCACCAAACTCCAATCTTCTACTACCAAAAGACTCATCGACCTCCCATCTTCAAAAGCTTGAATAGCTTGGACCGAGTTTACTATTTGTTCGTTGTCGGAATGTAAATTTAAATAATAAAGTGATATTTTAAAAGTTTACGGGTGAAAAGTGTCATTGAATTATTATTTATGTGGAAAAAATCGTTAACTCTAGGATATATAGATATAGTGTAAAATAAAAATATATTAAACTTTTACCAAATTCAATGGATATAAGATGTCTAAATACATTCATCTGTCATAGCATCAAACTGTGTAAACATGTGCAAGGTTCTTAAACATGGCAAACGATTATTAAAGCAGGGTCCACTTGAGGAAATAGAAAAATCCAACACTGTCACTTTCACAGGAAATGGGCACAAGCTAAGGGTAGTACTCCAGGGAAAGAAGACTATGGTTTGTTATAAGACTAAGACAATACGATAACATCATTGTAAGGGTTATTGCTTTGGAATACAGCAATAGGCTTCATTAACCAAACCTTTCATTTTAACAAACAATTAAAAAAATTAGAATATAAAAAACTTTACATAATTCAGACAGGCAAAAATTAATTTCCTGAAAGCGGTAAGATTTATTTTAGGAAGTATGAAGGATCATACTTGCAAGCATATAGCTTTCAAACAAAGCAAGGCAGCTCATTCATCTCCTAAAGTAGTAACTTATTATAACAATTTTGAAAGGTTAGAATTCTATTGGGAAAGAGTGCAAAGATTAAGCAGAGCAAGCTTGCNGCAAAAACCTTCACTATAAACCAATTAAGAAGATGTCAAATTTCTATTTACATCCTAAAAAAGGGTCATTTTATAATTATTCCAATTAATAACTTTTTGGTTGTATGTACCAATGTTTTAATTTCATAAAATAACAGATAGCTACGTAGTGTATAAAACTATAATATAATTTATGATAAATAAAACATTGTTTCATTGATGGTATTATATAAAATATATCTTAAACATTTCCTATTTTTTAGGGTTAATTTGTTTACCTCCACTTATCCCCAGTCTAATTTTAAAAAAGGGCATGGATGAAACCAGGAATTAATTTCCCTAGTGTAATTCTATAACAGGGTAAGAGCGAAACCAGAAATTAATTTTGGTAAGGGCTGACAAAAAGTATTAAATATTTATTAAAACAATATAGCTCTTTCGAATGCGAGAAATTTGTGTTAGTAAACATAGTACATATTCAGTATACTGCAAAAATATATTTTATTTTAAAAGTGAAGAAAAATTGAACACAATACCCGTGTGAAAATTGAATTAACTAGGATCTTGTTGGGAAGAGAACAAATTACTTTTTAATCTAAGAATTTAAAAATAAGGGAAGAAGGGTATGGGAAAAAACTGGAAAAAAATAATTATAAAATGAATTGATTCAAACCAAAAGTGTTCAAAATTAGAGAATTAAGAGATATTAAAAAAAAAAATATATCAAATAATAACTTATAAGTTTAAATTTAATTACAAATCTAAGTTTAGGAAATGTGACCCTAACCCTTGTGCGTTTGGCGTTTTTGTAGTGAACACCTACTAGTTTTGGAAATGCGACCCTAACCCTCATTTTTAGTTTAAAAGAAAAAAAACGTTTTTACTATTCATCTAGATTCAATCAATCTAAATTTTAACATCCAAAATATATCAACAATGTTTAGAGGTTAATATATTTTTTTAAAGTTAAATTGATGACATTATTGATAAATTTAAAGGTTGAATTAATAACATTTCCAAAACTAATGAATACTCACTACAAAAAGGCTAAACTCTTGAGAGTTAAGGTCACATTTTCAAAATCATTTCAAAAAGGTCAAACATAGAGGTTCTACTATAAAAAAAACCCTTTTAAAACACCTTCATAATTGAAGAACTCTCGCTAACCTCTTCGTTTAAGTACCACTGACATCCCTTAAGATTTTCTTAGTTATCGGTAACTTTCCTAATAAGGGTCGGTTAGCAAAAATTAGACAAAAAAAAACTCAAGGAAGACCAAAGATACTTCCAAGAAAGATGAAGGGTGTTTAATTCTGAAATCGTATCAAAAGTTCAAAACTCATTGGAGATTTAGCGAGATCAGCACCAAGAATTTTAAGTAAAACTGTCCTCACTCTATATTATTTAATGTTGCCGGCGAAATTGGATGGTGACCAGAAGTAGACAACACATGAGAGCGCTGAGTCAAAGTACACGTTCCTTTAACACATGGGTGAAGGCAATTGTTTAATCTTCTGTAGATGGGTCCATAAGAATAATACTTCGCTTTCTTTTCTTTCTAGTTGCATCTTTCATATTGTTTGTTGATTTTGAGAATATAAATATCTTCTTATTCGATCCTAAAGTTCAGATACATGCATGAGAAAGAATGTAAATAAAAGAATTACATGTTTCGGGTTTATTTTAATCTCATTGAAANTGCTCAGTAAGAAACTGCTAAAAACTGTAGACATTATCGGCCAAAGGAAGAGATTACCATGTTGCCAACTATTTTAGGTCTCTCAAAGCCAGTAAATATTGCAGCTGACATATTGGTTGTTCCTATACTACTATATGTCCAAGTTAAACAAGGGAATTCATTGAACTAAAATTCAGATGAGATGGATTGAAGACCATAAAGGCATCTCACAGAACCTTCTAGAGATATTCAAAAGCCAACGGCACACTATAGTTGCAATATATCATGATGGACTCACAGAAATGATTGAAAAAAAAAATAGTAACTTCAATGGTCATACATACCCTTGCTGGATTTGCAACAAATATGCGAGAGAGCAAGTGTCTGCAATCTTGAGATATGTGCACATAGTCTGGGATTTTGTACTGAACAGCCATTATCCGCTGCAGAAGATAACAAAGAGGGAAAATAAACGTTAAAATGAAAGACGCTGGATATTATCAAATATTATAAAGAGGGAGAGATAATTTACCTGAATTGTTTTCCTGAAATTCTTGGGGTCCTCCTGGTCCTCAAAAGGGTATGCACCCACTAGCATAACATAAAGAGTGACTCCACATGACCATACATCCGCCAACTAAACAAATGCAGTAAGAACCAACATATTAGAACTAACATTTACAAGTTCACTTGTGTCTAAAAATAATGAGTTCTAGGCATTTCAATATTGTTATGAACATACTTCTCCAAGGACCAATTGGTTAGTCGGAGACAACAAAAATGTTTATATTTTTCTTTACTTTCTATGTAAAATCATTTTCAAATAGAAAATTGCTTATTGCTAGTTATTATGTGAAGAAGCATGCAAGCCAATAAAAACTTCCATTATGCAGACAAGAAACCTAGCTCTCCTGGAACCTTGTAATAGATTAACCAGACTGAAACTCCCATAAATTTTTCTCTTTATTAGAGGATTAAATAAAGAACTAAAATGCTAGATCCAAGAAAGTTACCAGTGACATCTGGGACAGGTAAAATACAACTATTAATTGGAAAACTACTTTTATACAAGGAAAACCTTCCTAATTGAAAGATTTGAAAAAACATAATCAACATAATCCTGAGTACAATTCCAAAAGCAAATAGAGAAAGTCTTTCTGTGTACTTTTTTTTTTTTTTTTCTTGTTTATCAACGTAATCAGCCAATTTTAGGCAAGCCATCCACCTAATCAACAATTAAGAAAGGTAAGTACACATCCTTATCCAGAATCAAATCAAGATTTTTACTTCAGTGCAGATTTCCAATTATATTTAAATCTGTCAGCAGATGATCTTTGCTTAACTTTGCTTAGATGTCCAGCCTTATCCAACTTTCATGATATTTCAAAGTTTTACATTTACGGGGTTGACTTTCAAACCTCTAAACATAGATCACTTGTGAAACCTATTGGCAACAAGTAACACAATCATTGATCAAACACATCACAGAAAAGTGTGTATAACAACCTCAAACATACATTTACATAACCTACCATTTACCTTTTTTAATAACCAAAGGTCATAATAAAATATTATAAATTATGTAAACTACTACTTCACTTGCAATTCATTGCTTAGTCTAATCTAAAATACATACAAGTGTGTGCTGGTCTTTGGCCCTTAGCTGAAGAAATTACAAAATTAAGTTGTTGCAAACTGAAATAACAAAAACTCAACTGTCAAACAATTGGCCAAATATTAGTGGGCCTAAGGAAGACCCTATTGATTTTAATACGGTTCAACAAACAGTAGGCAAGCCTTCATCTTAGGCTACAACCGATAACCAAGCAGTTTGACACATGGAATGTCTATAAAGTCTAAATGAAAATAATTAACTAAGATAAGGATATGAAAGTGACATTAAAATAAATAAAAAAGGAAACAATAATATGTGCTACTTAGTTAGCATGTGCATTGATTTAGTTACAACACGCATAGGGCATAAAATAATCTTCTCCGGTGGGACAGATACAAAGACATCACATCTCCTTTACCTTGAAAAATATTTAAAAGAGAGGTAATTAACTTTTAAAAGTACAAAAAGTTTAGTGGTGCCAAAAGAGATAAGAGTCATGCACCCAAAAAATAATGGATGCACACTCATCCCAGGTAGAACCTGCCCCTTGATTTGATTGCATATTAGTAATCAAACTCAAATGTGGCACACTAGATCCATGAGTCATCATCTAAAATAAAATAAAAAAATAAATAAACAAATGCTAGGCAAATTCAATATCTCCATTAATATGAAAAAATAATTAAAAAGACTAACTTACTTTGCCATCATATTCTCGCCGAGAAAGAACTTCCGGTGCAATATATGCCGGAGTTCCAACTGTGGATTTGGGCCTTGAATGCAACAGAGATGACTATACCACAGGATAGAAAAGAACAGATAAATAAACAAAAAAAAAAAAGCAAACAAGATAACCACAAAGACAAACAAGATTTACAGAGCAATTGAAATCCATTTCAAAACCTTAGAGTAACCAAAATCACAGATTTTCAAACGCGGTGCAGCGCTTCCATCAAGCAGGGTATTTTCCAGCTTCAGATCTCTATGGCATATTTGCTGATATGCAAAACGTAAAAACAAACAAATTAATTACATTTGCTCATCATAGTTCAATGCACAGAAAGATTTGATTTACTATATTTGCAATGACAGATTTACCATTGAATGGCAAAAATGGACACCTGAAATGAGCTGCTGAAAGAAATATCTAGCCTGCCATAAAGAAACCAAAACATCACACACTACCAAATAATAAATATAGATAGAACAAGTAAAAAAGACAAAGGGTAAGAGAAAATTAACCTCATCTTCACTGAATCTACCAGCATTACAGATTCGTTCAAAGAGCTCTCCACCAGCAGCATACTCCATCACAATTGCCAAATGTGTAGGAGTCAAAACCACCTGAAAAAATCCAAACCCCACAACACAAATAATTAATTAATTCAAATTATATCAAATAATAAATTCTCAACCAATAATCCAAAAAAAAAAATTGCCTCTTTGAACCGGATAATATTGGGGTGCCGAAGTGATCTGTGATTTATAATCTCTCTAGCAACATTCTCGTCAATCTGCAAATCATTCAATAACAAATTTCTAAAACATAATTTCAAGAAATAAAAAGAAAAAAAAAAATTGTAAAGAAATTAAAGAAGCTAACTTTATGGCCTCGGTCAATATATTTCATAGCGACAAGCTCTTTAGTCTCCTTGTTTCGCATAAGCCGGGCAATCCCGAAATTCCCAGCACCCAAATCCTTAACAACTTGATATTTTTCCATGATCGAAGGCAACCCAACTGAGATCTCTTAAAATTTGAATGGGAGGAAATAAAGGAGAGGTTTTTATAGAGGGAATTGATGGAGTAAAGAAGTGAAAGTGATGTGGAGAGAGAGAGAGAGAGAGAGAGAGTGTGTGTGGGAGAGATGCACGTGGAGAAGTTATAGAAAAATGAAGAAAAGAGAAAGGGAAATGGGCATTAATGGAGGATTATGGGAATCCATAAAAACCAGCTTGAATCCAACCAGAGCCTCTTCAATCAGCTCATCATTTTAATAATTTTTAATAACGGATCTCCAAAAACGCCGATGTGGTAGGAGACAATATGCGGGTTTATTTTTGACTTTTTGCATGCCGTTTTCCTAAGCCATCAGATCAACTTGACCCTCGTTATACAAATTTATTTATGTTGATAATATACAAATTATATTTTTTTTAATATTAAAATTCTCTACTGTTGTGACTTTATAGTAAACCATTGTAGACGGTAAAATCTACAATCAAATCGGGGGACTGATCCTATGCAATACGAGCCACTAACAACCTGGTCGACCTACACAAAGAACACAAAAACGGGAATGTGAAGGCTAGATAGACACCATTGTGGTGTCTGTCGTAGCACTCCGATGCTTAAGTCAACGAGACTGAGAGAGGCTATTGAGTGAGGGCTAAAGGGAGAGTACCAGAATAATATGGCAGCTCTTGGGAGCAAGAACTTAGGAGCTAGTAGGTGTAGCGGGTGATTTTTAAATGAATAATGAGGGAGTTTGCCCCTATTTATACAGTGAACCCAAAAGGTTCGAATCCTAGCAGGACTCTGAGTCCTACTAGGTAAAGGAGTCATTCTTAGGAAAGGGATAGGATCTCCTTTCCTTATTGGGTTAGAGATATGATCTCCTTGCCTTATTGGGTTAAGCTTAACATTAATTATTACAATCTAGGATCCTGATAGAAGTGGAAACATAATAGGATTCTACTTCCTATTTCGGACTACTGTGGGCATGACCAGCTTAGCTTAACTTGCAGGATAGCCCAACTTATAGAGAGGGCAGTTCACAAGGTAGATTTAAGTGTAAGCCCAACTGGAATTGGGCTAAGGCCTTGGGTCGTTATCTGTATATCTTGTATGTTGCGCCTCATCAGGCCTAACATGATTTTTGGCCCATACAGTTTGGCTTATATGCGCCTAATTGAATCTACTCTGGAGAGTAGATTCAATTAGTCGCATATAAGATGCGAATGTGCTGATATTCCTATATGGAGGATTAGACTCAAAACGTTTGCCAATGTCCTTGGGACATAGATGGTTTGGTTCAGCCATGGCAGCCGAATGAAGCCGAACAAAGATTATACACACATTCGACGTTGAATCAGATATGGCCCATTTATGCGGTCATTCAGCTCATCAGATTATCCCAGAGGAATTATGTCAGCTAGATCATTCAAAGCATGAGGTGACTTGTACAAATGCTTGAAGGTGGGGGTGTACTATACTGTCGCACCCGCCGAGCAGGGTAAATTGGTCAAGTGTATGGAGAGTAAGATACTGATCGATATGATAACAACTTACCTAAGACGAGCTGAACGGTGTCATCTTCAGGAACGCCAAACTCATCAACTCATTGTTAGCATCCCTTGGAAGGATAGACTTGTGTGGCCCGACTTGCTAACATACCTCGACCGAGCTGAAGCAAGAAATGGCAAGGTTATTGGAATTGATGATTAGATGACTAATAGCATCATACGGTAGGTGCATACAAACTGTTTTGAGTGATAGGAGCAGGGCTTTTCAGATCCACAAACAAAACGAACTTTGGTGTCTGGCCATGCCGGGCCATATGATGGAGTATCACGGATATGCTAGGAGGAACGATGTATGTTGCCACGTGTTTCATCCCACACGAATCATACGTGCGGATGCGAAAGGCGGGAAACGAAAAAGTTTTCTTCTCTTGAGTCCCGATTGTAATCCGCCACCTTAAGGACTGATGCATTTAATACGATGTCCCTTCACTTTCAAACCCCATTTCATCCTTAGTTGAGTTTGGGAGAGAGGGAGCCAAGAACTTTTAGTCTTCAAAGCAACTTTAGGTATTTCTGGCCATTTTTAAAGGTAACTCTTTGTTTTTCTTTGATTTTCACTCGTTTTCTTTGTTTCATTCGCATTCTTCATTGGTTTTTGAGTCTTTGGAACTAGTTCTGGTAGATTTGGGTAAGAAAAACGGAGTTTTGGGGAAGAGTGGTTTTTCTTAGCGGTTTTGTGAATTGGTTTTGCGAAGGAGCGGTTTTCACATTTTAAATGGTTTTTGATTTCTGGGAAGAGAACAACTACTCGTTAGGCTAAGCCGAGCGAAGCCGTGTATAACCTTGTCCGGTAGGAGAGGTCAAGTGGAGTGGGAGTTGTTTGCTAATACCGAATAATACTTGGGGTGAAGTCTTCAATAGGCTGAACCGAGCGAAGATGTCTGGGGGCAACGAATACGAGAATGCGCCCACCATGGTGGTGCTTCTTGAGGATGATGGGGCGACTCCAACTGGAGGAGTGAGTGTTGTGTTTCATGCTAGGCATATACCGAGCAGTCACGGTGCAAAGTCGGGCGAAGGTGGCTCGAGTAGTGAAAGTTCGGATAGTGAATCATGAATCAGGGAGTGCTACCGATCTGGATCGCGTAAATAGGAACGAAACTCCTTTAACAAGTTGTGGTCATGGAGACGAGCAGAGCTATCTCAAGGTCGGGATGTTAGCAGACAATTCGCCGTCTAGGCTTGAACCGGTGGAGAGAACGAAGCTCAAGTATCTTTGCAAGATACCTGCTTCTATAAAGACGAGGGTGCCGACCAGACATGAGAGAGTGGATTGGTCCATGCTGGACTAGATCAGTATATATGAGTAGACTTTGGTGGAAGGGATGTGTTTTCCCATCCCAAGGCTGGTTCATGAGGTGCTAAGTCATTAGGGGATTGCTTAGAGCCAATTGATGTCGAACATCTAGCGGTTGCTTATGTCCATTGAATTTCTGTGCACGCGGCTCCATATAGAATTCAGAGTGATGGACCTGCTTTATTCATATTACCTCAAGGAGCATGATAAGGAGAGAGGTATATACCTTTTTATGTCGCAGCATGGCCATAAGCATTTGGTGACGGGGCTAAAGACGTATGACAAGAAGTAGAAGGATAGCTACTTCTTTGTGCGGGGTGACTTGGTTTTTGAGGAAGGTGGAGCTAAGGGATTCTATTATTCTGGCAGATGATAGGTGAAATAACTTTATTTTCGCTAAGTGTTGGTGTACTGAATATCATTGTTTTTTCTTTTGCAGACTTGAACTACAATAGGGCCTTGCTAAGACTTCATGCTGAAGAGAGAAGTCAGGCCATTCTTGCTCTACTAGAGGAAGAAAGAAATTACCGCTAAGGGTTAGATGAGGCAAATCTAAGAAAGAGCCATTTGTGGGGGCACGTCTCCGAGGTGAAACAAGGTACCTTGCTTTCACTTAGGAACCTGTTGCTATACGTCTTGTTGGTCCGGTACAGTAACCTCGTTGTCTTTGGTAGGTCTATTCATCATCCACTAACCACCGAGGAATTGTACCTTGGAAGAGAGAGGATGTCGAGTGAGTTCAAGGTTTCGACTGTCAAGGAGATCAAGGAGAGGCGTCAAACCGAGTCAGCTAAAAAGTGAAAGAGAATGGAGTTGGGTGGAACTTCCTTGGCAGCAAGTGATGCGAGCCCGAGCCGTTCGTCTCCACCTACTCAAAATGTGTGTCGACTCCAAAGGTTGTGGTGCTGGATGGCGATAATGTGAAGATCGTCATCCCGTTTGATGCTTCTACCTATTCTAACATTTATTTTGTAGAAGTCGTGTTGCATTCCTTCCTACTGCCTGAAAATGAGTATCAACTCGGGAGGATCGGTACGATGCAGACAACCAAGTGGACACTGACTTGCCTCTTCCAGGTATTGGAAAGTTTGTTTAGCTCCATCATTTTTTGCTTTTATACTTGGTTTAATTTGTTGCCTTCTCTTTGGTTGTAGGCTCTTTCCGGGGGTGCCCATCTTCGGAGGTTGAGCACCTCACAGGAAAGGAGAAACAAGGATCTGGAGAGGTGTGTTAGGGAGTTGACTAATTCCAACTCCGAGTTGGAAGGAAAGTTGCAGCTCGGTCAGGAAAGAGAGGAGTCTGGAAAGGTTCGTGCAAATCTTGCACACCAACTGCAGAAGGTCCAAGCCTAATAGGAGGTCGAGAAGGCCTCCTTGATTAGGAGGTTGGAGACTGTCTCCATTGAGGCAATTTTGAAGACAGATTAAGGAAGGAAGATAGGGCGAGTAAGAGTCGGACGAAGACATTGCAGAGTACAAGGCCTTTTTTGCCTAGCAGGGACTTGGGTCCGAGTCAGATAGTTGTGAAGCCAGAATTGTTACTTCAGATACTCGCATCGGGAAGCCGAGCGATGGATTGAAGGAGCCGATCTAGGAGATAGTCACACTGGGGACTCAGTCGACCAAGGATATTGCCGAGCCGAGCAACAAGACAGCTGAAGACGTTTTAGTTTAAGTTGAACTAATCTTGATTTTTGTAAGTGTCGAGTGAACATTTTAATTTCTGTAAGTGCCGAGAGCATTGGATGGTGACGGACTCAACCCTCGGGGCTTTTTACTTCTTTTATGATAGGAGCTCGGCTTCGTTTATTTCCTTTTTTAATGTTTGGAATTTTCTCTCTTTAATTGATAAGTGTTATGGATTTCTGGCTGCTTGAGGTCTTGACTTCGTGTGAAGGGAATGTCCCCTATAGCCCTTAGGGTGTTTATTGTGAAAAATACTTTAGCACTTTGCATAACTAAATAATCCCTCGATTTATTGAATAATGAAAAACAATCTTGACTTGGAGAAAAGTTTTCTAACAAACTGGGGGGAGTGGACATGCCCACCTTGTCCCCCATTGTAAATAATTCCTACATGCTATAGGTGGTAGAGCCGAGCCGAATAGTTTTAGAAATGGTAGGCCTTTATATGGATGGCATTCCAACTATAAGTGATGTTTTTTTCTTCCGACGTTTACTGTTGATAGACTCCTTTCCCGACAACCTTGGTATTTTGTAAGGCCTTCCTATGTGAGACAGAGTTTACCGGCTTCTAATAATCTTGTGTTTTGGAACACTTGACGCAGAAACCAGTCGCCTACTTTGAAGACCCTGGATTGGACATATTTGTTGTAATGTCGAGCTCCTTTCTACTGGTAGATGACGTTGCGGATAAAGGCTTGATCCCTTAGTTCGTCGGCAATGTCAAGGTTATGGCAGAGTTGTTGCCCATTCATGTCGTCTTTCGTCCATTAGAGCTGAGCCGAAGGGATTGAGACTTCAGCCGAAATTAATGCTTCCAAACCATAAGCCACAGAGAAAGGTGTTCTTCCTGTGGAAGATCGAGTAGTGGTACGATAAGACCAAAGTACTCTTGGGAGCTCGTTCGCCCAAGCTCCCTTAGCTTTTTGGAGTCTTCTCTTCATTGTTTGGAGGATAGTCTTATTGGATGATTTGGCTTGCCCATTCCCTTGGGGGCAGTGTGGCGTGGAGAAGCTCAGTTTGATCCCCCACATCTTGAAGAAGTCTTGGAAACCGGAGCTTATGAATTGGGAGCCGTTATCGAAGACAGTCTCCTTTAGTAGGCCGAACTGACATATGATTTTCTTCCACACAAAGCTTTTTACTTCTCGGTCTTTGACTTTAGTGAAAGCCTTAGCCTCAATCCACTTGGTGAAGTAGTTAGTTACTACGAGCATGAAGACTCGTTGCCTCGGTGCAGTTGGGAGTTTACCTACTATGTCCATTCCTCACTTCATAAAAGGCCAAGGTGTAAGGACGGAGTTGAGCCGTTCTGGGGGGAGGTGTGATGTTGAAGCAAAGCGTTGGCAGTTGTCGCGTTGCTTAGAGAATTCGGCAGAGTCGGAGCACAACTTTGGCTAGTAATAGCCCGTTGTGAGAGCCTAGTTAGCAAGGCTGCATCCCCCAGCATGGTTGCTACATTCGCCTTCATGGTGCTCTGCAAGCACATACTTTGCTTCTGTCGGGGTAATGGATTTGAGGTACGGTCCCAAGAAAGATTTTCGAAGTAGGCGACCATCATAAAATAGTGAACTGAGCCGCCTTGGCTTTCACCCGGCGTGCTTCGTTTTTGTCTAGTGGGAGCTCGTTGTTCTCCAAGTAGTGGAGGATGAGTGTTATCCATGACTCATCCGAGTCGACTAGTGAGATCTCGACCGAGCCGACCGCAATGGCTGGCGTATAGAGGTGTACCAATGGAATTATTGTTGGCATGTGGTTTATAGGGCCGAGCCAAGGTTTGCTAAAGCAGCTGTATGAGTGTTTTTGGCCTTGGGGACTTGGGTGATGGTGATCTCCTCGAAGGACGATTGCAGCTATTTGGCTAGGTTGAGATACGAGGTCATCTTCGTGTCTCATGCTTAATAGGAGCCCTGAAGTTGATTTATCACCAATTGTGAGTCTGATTTAACTTCCAGCTTCTTGATCCTCATTCTCTTAGCGAGGGAGAGGTTGATGATCAATGTTTCGTACTCGACCTCATTGTTTATTCCATTAAAGCTGTGCCATATGGACTGTTGAAAAATGTCACCTTCTAGTGATGTGAGGGCCAGTCCTAAGCCGCTGCCATTGATGTTGCTTGATTTGTCTACTGCTAGAGTCCACTTGGACGATACATGATTTGCCAAATATAGGAGCTCCTTTTCTACCTAAATAGAAGTGCTAGGTACGAAGTCAGCGATGAAGTCAACTAACACTTGAGATTTGATTGCGGTGCGGGGTTGGAAGGAGACATCAAACTCACTTAGTTTTACCGCCTACTGAATGAGCTGACCCAAGAGATCAGGCTTGTGGAGTATCTTCTTCAAAGGGTAGAAAGTTAAGACTATGATGGGGTGGCATTGGAAATATGGTCTTAGCTTCTGTGCGGCAATGATCAAGGTGAGTGGCAGTTTTTTGAGTTAGTTGTACCGTGTCTCGGCATCGAGCAGAGACTTACTGGTGTAGTATTCTAGCAGCTGTTTTCTTTCCTCTTCTTGAAGTAGTACAACGTGTTTGAATCAATCTACCAACACAGTGAAAAAACAAAAATTAAAAGGATGAATCGATTCCTTTTATGCCAAGATCCAGGTATAGATTATATAGTTTACATGTTAAATCAAAATTCTACACAAAATAATACCAATCCAGACAAGGATCAGAGATCTTACACACGTTTGGAGGCTCCTTCAAATGTCTCTGAATCTACTTCGCTACCGATTCAACATAGAACCGAACGAACGGTGATCCACACGAAGACAATCCGAAAAACCAAAGAGGGGTTTGCTAGATCCACTAATTGGCTTCAAGAATCAAGTTGAATCAAAGAAAAACTTTGATTCAAAACCAAGGGGAGAAAGTGTGAGAGAAGGGAGAAAAGAGGGCTACTTTTTTCTTTCCTTTTTAATGGAAAATGAATGATTGATTTCTTAACACAACTTGCACTTATATAGTGCAAGTTGTTGAAATCCTATTCCTATAAGGAATACACATGGGTTCCAACTCTACTCCACCCTTGTGTCCAAACACCCTTCTTATGGTATTTTATATTAATTAATTATTATTATTATTAAAATCAATTAATATATTTATAAAATATATTAACATTTAATTAATATTAATAATTCATTTAAATATATGGGTACATATATTTAAATATAATCTCACTAATTTAATTTTAATATTTAATTACAGGCAACAACCTCAGCAAATTTAATTGAACTGTGAGATTATCAAAATACCCTTTCGTCCTAAAAGACAAAAATACCCCTTGAACAAAACAATTCTTAAATTATTTTCTAAGTGTGTGACCCTCACTATACACAGACCAAGATTGACCCCTAACAAGGCATCATGGCCACTCGATAGATTTAGAATCAACAAAATAGCTACCGATCAACGATATGGTTACCGTGCAATCAAATCCTTTCATCATCTGTTATCTCATCGAGACTGAGGTACAGAATTAGTGTTAACCTCAGTTATCCTCAATATCTTTGTATTCAGTTACTAGACCAATGACCTGATAAATAAATTGGATTGGGCAACAACTCAATCCCACTGTGGCCACAGATTTAGTGTCATTGTCATTTACTGAATTGTGCAGTGAGATAACTTCTCCCGTACCCGAGAGTGATGAATCCTTTGTCAATTCACCATAGTCTTGATACACTCCTCGATGCAGTCAATCACTATCGTATTGATAGCTCTGAATAAAATTGCGTTGGGTTAATGTCAAACTACATCAATCGGTGCACAAGGTGCTCTAGTAATCTCAAGTCTAAGGATCACATGCACTATCATTCGTTAGAGGATATTTTCCATAGACATTGGGGTTACCACTGATATAGAATCCTCTGGTGGGTTAGTCCAATGAACTTGCCTACAGCAAGCACCCATGTATTGCACCAGGTTGTCGGCAAATAACCTTGACAAGTGAGATCAGTCACTGCCTTTCGATAGGGTCGTTCAACACTATGATAGCCTTACCGTATTATCTGTGTCCTTGGTCAGAATAATACTGGGGCTACGAAAATTTCTAGAATGGCCACCATATGTGATCATACGGTTCTCACTATCAAGATTTGAAACACTTGATACCCTCGTCAAGGTTCTACCATCTTAAGGACATATATCAATACATATAGTTATGATCTACATGATATAGAATAAAAAGCCTTTTATGGATTAATGAACATTATTACAAAGAGTTAATTTTACAATAATTGATTAGCTCTAAGGCACCTACTCTAACACAGCAGAGATGGCACATTCTAACATGGCTAGGTAGGTGAAGAGTCATTCCTTTGTTTTCAATTTGGAAAGTAAAGGGGGTGATGTTAGATACCTTTTTAGGTGAGTCAATGCTTCTTCACACATTGGGGTCCACTCAAACTTCTTAGACTTTTTTAGGGAAGTAAAGAAAATGTGGCACTTCTTCGTCGACTTAGAGATGAATCGAGTCAGTGCGGCTATTCTTCTTTAGAGGCATTGAACATCTTTGATGCATGTAGGAGATGGGATGTTCAAGACCGCCTTGATTTGATATGGGTTGGCTTTGATCCCATGCTGTGTCACCATGTAGTAGAGGAATTTTTCGGACGAGACATCGAAGGAGCACTTGCCTAGGTTCAGCTTCATGTTGTATTTCTGTAGCACCTCAAAGGCTTGTCTAAGGTGGTCAAGGTGTTGCTCGGCGATCAGGGATTTCACCAACATGTCATCGATGTATACTTCCATAAAGTCCTCTAGCAAATTGGCAAATATCTTGTTCACAAGGCGTTAGTAGGTGGCGCTAATGTTCTTCAAGTCGAATGGCATTACTTATAACAGTAGATTCCTCTCTCGGTGATGAAGGTAGTATTTTCTTGGTCATCCGGATGCATCAGTATCTGATTATAGCTTGAAAAGGCGTCTATGAAGCTTAGTAGCTCGTCCCCAACGATCGCATTCACTGACATATCTATGTGGGGGAGAGGGAAAATGTCTTTTGGGCAGGCCTTATTTAGGTCGGTGAAGTCAATGCAGACTCTCTGTTTCCCGTTCATCTTTTTGATAGCCACCACATCTGTCAACTAGTCTGGATAGTGAATCTCCCAAACCGAGTCGTTACCTAACAGCTTCTTTACCTTCTCATTAATCACCTTGTTCCCTTTAAAGGCGAATTTCCTTCTCTTCTATTTCACAGGGGGGTGATCTAGGTTGGCGTTTAGCTAATGGACGATAGCCTCAGGATTGATTTCCATCATATCGGCGTGGGACCAAGTGAAACAATCCTAGTTCTATTTAAAGAAGTCTGCTAGCTTTTTTTGGATATCAGGTCGGAGTTGTGCCCCTATTTAAGTCTTACAGTCTGGGAGATCTGGGTGCAACTACACTTCGTCCAACTCTTCAACTGTCGGTCTGTCCCGCTCAGCTCCTCCAACCGTGTGGGTCTGTAATTGCTACATATTCCCCTGCTTAGTTTTGAAGGTTTTCTGATAGTAGTATCTTGATGCTTTTTGATCCTCTTTTATCTCCTTAATGCCCTACTTGGTGGGAACCAGATGGTCTAGTAAAAGGTGGATGGAATAGACTACATGTCGTGGATCCATGGTTGGCCCAATATTACATTGTACGGAGAAGGTACGTCCACTATCATGAAGGTGGTTTGGAGATTAATTCCCTCAGCATAGACTGGCAGAGCTATCTCCCCCATAGTGTACTTCTGTTCTGAACTGAAAATAACGAGTAGAGTGGATCATCGATTTATGTTAGATTCCTCTAGTCCCATGACTTTTTAGGCATCGAGGAACATAATGTTTGTTGAGAAGCCGAGGTCCATGAGGATTCTTTTTACTAGGATGTTGGTGATCTGTAATATGATGACGAGCGCATCATAATGAGGGTTCATGAGCAATGTTGTCTTGTTATCAACGAATTCAATAGCTAGATTCGTTGGCTTTTGAACGCAAGGTCGTGGAGGGTGGTGTTCAGGCCTTGCTACGGCTCTTACATGGCGCTTGGCCGAGGAGTAACTCACTTCGCTTATCTTGGATATTGATATCATGTTGCACATCGCGTCAGTGGGTGGCGCTTTTAATTGCGGTGTCACTTGAGGGCTTTTACCTGCATAGGTGGCCCTCCCTTTCTCTATGATAATCCGTGGATTATACTGTTTTCATTAGACTTTTTAGTCGGATTTCAAGTACTTTCTAGTTCATTTTAACCTGAATTGTTGCTTAAATCTTTACATTTCGTGTTTCAGGTTAAAACAAACATTTTGTGTAAATAAGGACAAAATTGGAAATTCTAAACTCAGAAGTAAGCAGATCTCAGAAGTTGGGAGAGTTCTAAAGCAGAATAAAGCATATGAAGCTCGCTTCCAAGGGAGAGCACCGAAGATCGAAGAATCAAGCGAAGATGCAAGCTGAGTGGCAGTTCTGTAATTTCATAACTTTTCAAGAAGCTTCGCCGCGGCGAAGTACGCCAGACACGAACATGTTTGCTTCTCTCTTCGCCGCGGCAAGGTTTCTTCTTCGCCTCGGCGACTGTCGTGAATTTCAATTTTGTAAAACACACAGTTTTACTTTGTGCATGTTTTTCTGGGAAATTTGGACGAAGTATAAAAGGAAACACTTAGCATTTTTCCGAGGAGGTTGAATAGGTTTAGGGCAGCATTTTACTTTTGAATAGAGAGTTTATTTTGGAGAGATTGTGAGGTTCAATAAGGGTTAAGATTCGATTTCAAACCAGAGGAATCATCATTTGGGGAGATTTCTTATCTTTTATGTTATTTTCATTATGTTGAACTTTAATATTTTTGTTTCTTTCATTTGTGTTGTTGATTTAGCCATGAACTAACCCATTTTGGGTTAGGGTTTTGATTGTAGTTTGGATTTTAATGGGTTAAGTGATTGATTATTCTCTTTTCATATGATTATGCTTGGATTGTGTGTTTACTCTGAATTTTTAATGCTTATATGTGATGAACATGGTGAGATTGAGAAATAAATCATGTTAGGCTTCTTGGGTAATCACCATTGTAGTATTGGATGCTAGAGATAGATTCAAAAGTCAATGAAATCATTTTAGGATTCTTATGCTTAATGAACTTGGATTTGTTAACTTTCAAATTGTTGGGTGCGGAAAGTTGATAAGGAAGGGTAGGGAAACATAGCCTGAGAAGGTATGTTTAACACTTAGGAGAGTTCGATTTACAATCAATGCATATGAGTATGATTTTAGTTTAATTCTTAGGTTTAACCCATAAAATCCGAATGAAGTCAAAACCCTACCCATTTTACTTGAATTAATTTCTATCCGTGTTTTTCATCTCGCGTTTCTTCGTTAATTTTAGTTTAAAATTTATTGTTAAGTTTTAATTAGAAATAGCTCCCATAAATCCAAAGAAATCGATTGCTCCAACTTGAGAATAGTAGGAAACTTAGTGCTTAGCTAACAATCCTCATGGGAACGATACTCACTCATCATTATATTACTTGTGTGATTAGTATACTTGCTACATTTGCATGTTGTAGGAAACACGCATCAAGTTTTTGCCGCCGTTGCCGGGGACTGTTTTAAGTTAACATTGAGTCTTTCTATAATTAGCTAGATTGGAGTTTTTATTTTGTTTTTAATTTTCAGTTGGTTTGTGGTCTCACTTTCCTTCATTTTTGTTTTTGCAGTTTATGCGAAGAGTGAGACGTCAACTAGTGGTTCCTGTTGATCTTTAGATTGAGAGAACTGTCAGACGACGTAATAGAGAGAGAAGAGAAAGAGAGGATATAGTTGTTGAAGCAGAAGTAATAGTTGTTGAAATGGAAGAACCAGAAAACATGACACTGAGAGAATTTTCAGTTCCCACAGTGAATGGTAGTGGGTCGAGTATTACTAGACCTACGGTGCAAGCCAACAACTTCGAGATCAAGCCGGCAATCATCCAGATGATCCAACAGTCGATTAGATTTAATGGTGATTCGAAGAAAGATCCGAATCAGCATATTACAAATTTCTTGGAAATTTGTGACACCTTCAAGTCGAACGGAGTGTCGGACGATGCTATTAGGTTGAGGTTATTCCCATTTTCATTGGGGGATAAAGCCAAAGGGTGGTTAATGGCACTACCACCGGGAACTATCACAACTTGGAATGATCTAGCACAAAAATTCCTTACTAAGTTCTTCCCCCCAGCAAAATCAGCAAAATTAAGAAATGATATCACATCATTCTACAAGATGAGTCTGAGTCATTGTATGAGGCTTGGGAGAGATACAAGGAGTTAATGAGGAAATGCTCACACCATGGCTTGCCAGTTTGGCTTCAAGTCCAAACATTCTACAATGGATTGATGGGTAGTGTGCAAACCATGGTGGATGCAGCTTCAGGAGGGGCCCTGCAAAATAACACACCAGAAGAGGCCTATGAGTTGCTTGAGGTTTTGGCAAGCAACAACTACCAAAGACCAAATGAGAGAGCAACAACAAGGAAATCTTCGGGTCTTCATGAAGTTGATGCCTTTACAGCCATCTCAGCCCAACTCACGGCACTTCAGAAATAGTTGGAACTCTATACAAGCACCTCAACTAATGTGTGAATTTTGTGCAGGAAACCATGTGAGCAGTGAGTGTCAAGTTGGGAACAAATTTGCTTCGTCATCTTTATCAACGGAGCAAGTGAATTACTTGGCAGGAAATCAGAGATAACCAAACAACCCATACACCAACACATATAATCCGGGGTGGAGAAATCATCCAAATCTGGTGTGGGGAAATCAGAACCAGCAAAATAATCAATGGAACCAGAGGACAGTTCCAAATAACCAACCAGGGGTGAATAATCAACCAGGAGATCAAAGAGTGACAAAGTTGGAAGATATGTTTGGGAAATTTATGCAAGAGACCACGGGATTCATGAATGAGATGAGGACGAATTTTAGAAATCAAGGGGTATCCATTCGGAATCTTGAGGTACAGATGGGCCAATTGGCCGAGAAACTAAATGAGAGACCTCAAGGTTCTTTACCAAGCAACACGGTGACTAACCCACGTGAGCAAGCAAATGCCATAATTTTGAGAAGTGGGACAGTTTTGGAAGAGGTAGAGCAAGCTACCAAGGAGGTTGAGCAAACCGAAAAGGAAGATTCGGATGAGGAAGTTGATGAAGAGATTATTGCTGAAGAGAAACCAAGTGGGTTGGAGGAAGAGAAAAAGAAAAAGGATGAAAGGCAAAAGAACAAGGAGAAATTGCCATTTCCCGAGATACCACCAGAGTTGGCACATCACACTCCACCCGTTCCTTTTCCTCAGAGATTGAAGAAAAAGAATTAAGATAAGCAATTTTCAAAGTTTATTGAAATTTTTAAAAAATTGCATATTAACATTCCTTTTGCAGATGCATTGCAGCAGATGCCGAGTTATGCGAAGTTCCTTAAGGAAATTTTATCGAACAAAAGGAAGTTAGACGATGAGGAAACGGTGATGCTCACGGAGGAGTGTAGTGCCATCCTCCAGAAAAAGTTACCTCCAAAGCTCAAAGATCCAGGGAGTTTTACTATTCCTTGTATTATAGGAGATATTACATTTGATCGTGTTTTGTGTGATCTAGGAGCTAGTATTAATTTGATGCCCTTTTCTGTTTTCAGGAGATTAGGGATTAGTGAATTGAAGCCAACGACCATGTCATTGCAACTAGCAGATAGGTCAATAAAACACCCGAGGCGGATAGTAGAGGATGTATTGGTAAAGGTGGGCAAGATAATTTTTCCAGCAGATTTTGTGGTGTTGGACATGGAAGAGGATAAGGAAATTCCTCTGATTTTGGGCCGACCATTCTTGGCCACGAGGAGAGCACTTATTGATGTGCAGGAAGGAAAGTTACTGTTGAGAGTTCAAGATGAAACAGTAACTTTCATTGTCTTTGAGGCGATGAAGTTTCCAGCTGAAATGGATTCATGTTTTAGTGTCGATGTGGTGGACAAATTGGTTGAGGAATCGATGGAAGAAAACAACCCACAATTACCTCTAGAAGCGTGTATAGCCAAATCAAAAACAGTAGAGGTAGAAGAGTCGGCGAGTAATGATTGTGCTAGGATGTTAGAAGCACTTCAACCGATTGATGAGAGTCAAAATGTAGAATTTGAGGAGTTTGATTTTGATAAAGAGAAGGAGAAGGAAAAAAATGAAGAACCTCTAAAGCTTGAATTGAAACCTTTACCTTCGCACCTCAAATATGTTTATCTTGGAGACTGAAAAACTTTTTCAGTGATTATTAGTTCAGGTTTGAGTAAATTAGAGGAAGAGTGGTTGATTAGGGTGTTGAGGGAACATAAACTAGCAATTGGATGGACCATCTCGGACATTAGAGGAATCTCGCCATCATTTTGCATGCATAAGATACTCATGGAGGATGATTTTAAGCCTAGGGTGCAACCACAGCGGAGATTGAATCCTTCGATGAAGGAAGTGGTGAGAAAGGACGTGGTGAAACTCTTAGATGCGGGGATTATTTATCCTATTTCTGATAGCCCATGGGTGAGCCCAGTACAAGTGGTTCCGAAGAAGGGAGGTATCACGGTGGGAGTAATGAGTTGATACCAACAAGGACGGTGACGGGCTGGAGAGTATGCATTGATTACCGTAAATTGAATGAGGCGACAAGGAAGGATCATTTTCCTTTACCTTTCATTGATCAGATGTTGGAGAGGTTGGCAGGACATGCCTATTACTATTTCCTGGATGGGTTTTCAGGATATAACCAGATTGTCATCGCTCTTGAGGATCAAGAAAAGACTACCTTCACTTACCCCTACGGCACCTTTGCTTACCGAAGAATGCATTTTGGGTTATGCAATGCACCAGCAACATTCCAAAGATGCATGATGTCAATCTTTGGAGACATAGTGGAACGGTTTATAGAAGTCTTCAAGGATGACTTCTCAGTTTTCGGTTCATCATTTGATAGCTGTCTAACTAATCTCTCTTTTGTTTTGTAGCGATGTAAGGAGACGAACTTGGTGGTCAATTGGGAGAAGTGTCACTTCTTGGTCCAAGAGGGAATAGTGCTCGGGCATAGGATCTCCAAGGATAGAATAGAAGTTGATCGAGCAAAGACGAAAGTGATTGAGAAGTTACCACCACCATCAAATGTCAAAGCAGTCTGAAGTTTCTTGGGGCATGCGGGGTTTTACAGACGCTTCATAAAGGATTTTTCTAAGATTTCTAAACCCCTCTGCAATTTGTTAAATAAAGATGTTGTTTTTTACTTTAACGATGATTGCATGCATGCCTTTCTAACTCTAAAAAAATTATTAGTATCTGTACCTATTATTGCAGTTCCCGATTGGGGACTACCCTTCGAATTGATGTGTGATGCTAGTGATTTTGCTTTAGGGGTAGTTTTAGGACAAAGGAAAAACAAAGTGTTGCATGTAATTCAGTATGCTAGCAAAACACTCGTTGATGCACAATTGATTTACACCACCACTGAAAAAGAACTGTTGGCTGTAGTTTTTGCTTTTGACAAGTTTTGTTCTTATTTGTTAGGTGCAAAGGTGATCGTCTACACGGACCATTCAGCACTCAGGCACCTATTGGCAAAGCAAGAAGCAAAACCTCGGCTGATACGCTGGATTTTACTACTTCAGGAGTTTGAGTTGGAAATTTGAGACAATAAGGGGTCAAAAAATGTGGTGGCTGATCACTTGTCGAGGATTGAGAGACCAATCAAGGGAAACGAGGAGGAAATGCCAATTAGAGAAACATTTCCAGATGAGAAATTGAAGAGAGTGGAGGAAGCACCATGGTATGCGGATTTTGCAAACTATTTGTCATCAAGGGTGCTCCCAAGTGGTATGACATACCAACAAAAGAGAAAATTCTTCTCAGATTTGAAGTATTATTATTGGGAAGAGCCGTTTCTTTACAGATATTGTGCTGATCAAATGATACGGACATGTGTCCCAGAAGAAGAGATGGAAAGCATTTTACAGCATTGTCACGAGAAGGAAGTAGGTGGCCATTTTGGAGGAGCTAGAACAGCAACCAAGGTTTTACAATCGGGGTTTTATTGGCCAACCCTCTTTAAGGATTCCTTCCAGATGATTCAAGAGTGTGACCAATGTCAACGGATGGGTAACATTTAAAAAAGAGATGAGATGCCATTGAACAACATCCTGGTGGTTGAACTTTTTTATGTGTGGGGGATTGATTTCATGGGTCCCTTCCCAAGTTCTTTTGGGAACACATATATATTGGTAGCGGTGGATTACGTGTTGAAGTGGGTTGAGGCAGTTGCATTGTTGACTAATGATGCTAGGGTAGTGATTAAGTTTGTGAGAAAGAATATTTTCTCAAGGTTTGGGGTACCACGGGCAATCATTAGTGATGGAGGATCTCACTTTTGCAATAGGCAAATGGATGCACTGTTGAGTAAGTATGGAATGACACATAGAGTTGCAACACCTTACCATCTACAAACAAGCGGGCAAGTGGAACTGTCGAATAGAGAACTAAAGGGGATTTTAGAAAAGACAGTTAATGCATCTAGGAAAGATTGGTCACGGAAGCTGGATGATGCGCTTTGGGCATACCGAACCGCTTTTAAGACTCCGATCGGTATGTCTCCATTTAGGATGGTTTATGGGAAAGCATGCCACTTGCCCGTAGAACTCGAGCATAAAGCATATTGGGCAGTCAAGCAGCTAAACATGGACTTGAAAGCTGTTGGAGAAGAAAGGATATTGACTTTGAACAAACTCGATGAGTTTCCTCTCGATTCATACGAGAATGCCCGGATTTACAAGGAGAAGACAAAAAGGTGGCATGACAAGCATATCTGGAAGAAGGACTTTGAAGTAGGGCAGAAGGTGTTGTTGTTCAATTCTAGACTCAGGCTTTTTCCTAGAAAACTGAAGTCTAGATGGTTCGGACCGTTCACAGTGACAAGAGTTCATCCATACGAAGCGGTGGAAGTGTCACATGAAGAAAAGGGCACCTTTACAGTAAATGGACAGAGATTGAAGCCCAACATAGTTGGGATGATAAGTTGCAAATCCATCCCAATCCGGCTTGACATCCCAACCTGAAGGATTGAGAGAGTCGAGCTATCGACTATAAACAAGCGTTTCTTGGGAGGCAACCCAAGTGTTTTTACTTGTTTGTTTTTCATTTTTGTTGTTGGAATTTGTTTGAATTCATTATGAGTTTGTATGATATTTAATGTGTGTGTTTATGGGTGTTTCAGGTGAAATTTTCAGAGAAGGAGAGGACACAAATTGCTGAATACTTCGTCGGGGCGAAGAAGTTTTCTTCGCTACGACGAAGCAATCGAAACAAAAAGGTTGGCTCCCAGATGTTTTCGCCCCGGCGAAGGAATTGTCGTCGCCGCGGCGAAGAAAGAATGATAAATTTTTGGAAAAATTTCTAAGGCATTGTTGCCGTGGCGAAGAAAATTCTTCGCGGAGGTGAGTTGCCTCGGTAAACCTGGGAAATTTTTAGGGTTCATGCACGAAGAACGTCGCCGCGGCGAAGCTCGTTCTTAGCCGCGGCGACAAAACTTTTCTATAAATACCCACTCTTCTTTTTCATTCTTCACGCAATTTTTCATTTTCACTTGAGAGAAAAATTTTCAAAATTCAATCTTTTGCCTTCCTAGTGCTTTTCCAACCAAAATTCTTACTCCCTAACATTCCTAAACACCAAAACAACCCATTTCAACAACAATTTTCGCAAAAATTTCACGAAAATTTTTGGATAAAAAATTTGGGGCTTTTCAATATGGGCTGTTTCTGGTTCAATTGGTGACGAATACTCATTCATATTGGTAAGATCTCGAATACCCAAAGCTTTTTATTGCACAATTTCAAGTTTTTAATTGTAGATCTGAAAATTTTTGTTGCGATTAAGTTGTGGAATTTGGGTGATTTTGAGTATTGATTTTGTTAGAGGAATAGTAGTTCGTGCTTTGGGTGATTGTGAGGAGTGTGGGTTTTTGAAAAATTGAAGTGTTTGTGTGGATTTGAAAATTTTGTAGTTTGGGGGTAAAGCGCAAATTTTTGGAAGTGTTGTTTGTTTTTGCAGGTTTGAATTGGTTGTGTAGAACAATTAGGTTTGAATTGTTGGGAAATAATTTTTGAGTGAACTGAAATTGTGAACAATGCCTGCCAAAATTAAGCATCCATACAAGGGTAAGGGTAAGGCCAAAGGAAAGAATGTTAACAATCGTTTTGTTAATGATCAAGCCCGTAAACGGTATGAGGAGGCAATCCAAAAGGATAAGGGTATTATTCCTAAACGCGGATTAACCGTGAGTCAGTCCTTGGACTGGAGTAGAGGGAGACGTTGGGAGATGTTTATGAGTGCTCCTGCACAACCGGCTGTAGAACCGCTAGTAAGGGAGTTCTATGCCAATCGCCCGGATTGTCAGGAAGGTACAGGTTTTGTAAGAGGGGTTGACATGCCATTTACGGAAAGGGTGATCAATGAGTTCTATAACCTAACTGAAATTTTCCAGGATGAGTACGTACAGTTTAAGAGATCACGGTTTGATGACAGTATCATCCTTCTGGTCATTGCAAAACTGGATGCAGATTGGGCAGTATCGAAGAAACAGAAGAAGACTCTCAAGGGAACTCAGTTGACACCGATGGCTCGACTGTGGCAATATTTTGTCAGTGCAAAATTGATGCCAGAATCACACTATAGCACAGTTACTCACGAGAAGGCAGTATTGCTTTACTCTATTGCCATAGGGAAGAGAATCGATGTGGGAGACATGATCTGGAACAGCATTAAGCTAGCCTCCAAAGCAGGGCGAACAAGTTACGGTTTCCCACATCTCATCACAACCTTATGCGTTAGAGAGGGAGTCGAGGTTCAGGATGATGAGCACCATATTCATGCTGCCCCAGTTTTAGACTCAGAGTATTATAGGAAGCACCTTGACCGTCCAAAAACTGCACAATCAAGAGTAGGGGCAAAAAGGTAGAGAACCACACAAGGCTTTGTCACATCCTCCAGCTCCACAGCTACTCAGAAAGAGATGACACAGCAGATGATGGGGATGATGCAACGGATGGTATATCGTCAGGATTGGTTGGTTGAGCAGACCCACATGATGTATGAGATGTAGAAGAATAGCTTTAAAGAGCTCAACGTTGACACTTCAGCATACCAATGGGCCGACTGGGACTTAGATGTGTGGATGGGCTTCGAGGAAGATGAGGAAGATGAAGAAGATGAGGAAGAAGAGGAAGAAGAAGAATGAGCTGGAGCACCTATTTTTGTTTTTTTTTATGTTTTTTTTTTTTTTTATTTTGTTGTTCGGTTTAAACATTAAACTCAGTTTTATTTCTGTTTTGGATTTTGGTTAGTTGTTTTAGTTGTTTCTTTTAATTTGTAGTTGTTGCAAGACGAGATTAGGTTGTAATATTTTCAAGTTAGTTTGTGAGTTTTTGCTAACACAAGAGACACCACAGTTTCAATTGTTTTGACATATTATGGGAGATGAAAAGTCCGAGACCGGGTGTGCATTGTGGAGCGACACTTCACGGATTGACCAGGGAGTTTTCTCGTACCTTTGTTCTTTTTGATTTTCTATTCCTGATTTATGCGTAATGGAACATTGGGGACAATGTCATGTTTAGTTTGGGGGTAGGAAATAGAAATAAAACCTAGTTTAAGGGTATATTGGCTGGAAACCAGAACCTGCCTTAAAAACTGCCTAGCAGTACTTGGCAACCTTTGGTATAACAACGCCACGTACACCTTAAACGAAAAAAAAATAATAATAATAATTTCTTGAGTTTGATTGTTTTGTCGATGATGAATTGTATAAATCAATGATGAGAATAGGCTGTTGAAATTTTATTGTTGAGAAATGTTAGGCATTGCTTCAAGTTTTTATTATTGACTAGATTTCGATTGAGGTTTGTTGAGTGGTTTAGCCACAATTTTCATTTATTTCGGCATACTTAAATTCATTTTATGTGGTTAGGTGAAGTTTGATAATGTTGGTGGACTCTAGAACCTAGTAGAGAAGTGCTTGAGGCGAAATTCTAGGATTAGACAAGGTTGAGAAGATGATTTAGGCATTTTTCGAAATGTTTGAGCCTTTCTAACCGACCCATGAATGAAATTGTCCCTAGTCACCCATTTGAGCTGTTTAAATTTTATTGCTTTATTTTCCTTGGAAAACAACAAAATTGTCCAATCCTTATACCCTAAACACTTTATCGTACCCTTAGGAGAATTCAGTCCTAATGCAAAAGAAAGAGTTGTAAGAATGAGCCAAACGAATAGTTTGGGGGTTGGGAGAAGAGAAATAATAATAAAAGAGGTAGTCACCTCAATTCAATTGAATTGTTGAGTTTCTTTCAGAAAAAAAAAAAAAAATGAATTCTGCCTAGTTTAAGGGTATACCGGCTGAAAACCAGAAACTGCCTTAAAAACTGCCTGGCAGTATTTGGCAAACTTTGGTATAACAACGCCACGTACACCTTAAACGAAATTCCCCCGCATTTATGGTTTCCGGAATAAGAAAAATACAAGTTCGAGGGTTGCGAATTAGTGGACATTTCAATTGGTGGTTAAGAAGAAGTGGAGTCGATTTGATCTCAGTTTTTGCATTAGGAAAACCGAGTTTTCTTACTTTGTTATTCCTATCCTTTTTCTTGGAACCCACTACCTAAGACTAACGTTACAAGCTTTTAAAGACCTTTTGATTCTTATCTTTGTCTAGTCCTCATTAGTGGAGAGTAGTTCGATATTTAGGCTTATGGAGTCTGCCACCATTTGATAAACTTCACATTTCTACATAAAATAATCCGGGAAGTTGGAATGTGGATTGAAGTGGGATCACATACTTGGTGGACTGATTGAGGAAGTTAGTCGATATAGCTTATAACTTCTTGGAGTGTTGAACATTTCCTAATAATAATTTTTCAACAACTTTTGAGACTTGTGTAAATTCTAGGCAATTCGTTTGTTGAATGTGAGTCTTGTTGGTTTTTGTTCATTTTTCAGTTTTGATGTGTGTGTGTGTGTGTTGTGTGTTTTTGTTCGTAGTTGTTGTTTTGTTCCCTTTAGTTTTGTACCGTATGCTTGGGGACGAGCATATGTTTAGTTTGGGGGTATTTGATAATCCGTGGATTATACTGTTTTCATTAGACTTTTTAGTCGGATTTCAGGTACTTTCTAGTTCATTTTAACCTGAATTGTTGCTTAAATCTTTACATTTCGTGTTTCAGGTTAAAACGGACATTTTGAGCAAATAAGGACAAAATTGGAAATTCTAAACTCAGAAGTAAACGGATCTCAGAAGTTGGGAGAGTTCTAAAGCAGAATAAAGCATATGAAGCTCGCTTCCAAGGGAGAGCACCGAAGATCGAAGAATCAAGCGAAGATGCAAGCAAAGTGGCAGTTCTGAAATTTCATAACTTTTCAAGAAGCTTCGCATCGGCGAAGTACGCCAGACACGAACATGTATGCTTCTCTCCTTGGCGCGGCGAGGTTTCTTCTTCGCCGCGGCGACTGTTGTGAATTCCAGTTTTGTAAAACGCACAGTTTTACTTTGTGCGTGTTTTTCTGGGAAATTTGGGCGAAGTATAAAAGAAAACACTTAGCATTTTTCCGAGGAGGTCGAATAGGTTTAGGGCAGCATTTTACTTTTGAATAGAGAGTTTATTTTGGAGAGATTGTGAGGTTCAACAAGGGTTAAGATTCGATTTCAAACCAGAGGAATCATCATTTGGGGAGATTTCTTATCTTTTATGTTATTTTCATTATGTTGAACTTTAATATTTTTGTTTCTTTCATTTGTGTTGTTGATTTAGCCATGAACTAACCCATTTTGGGTTAGGGTTTTGATCGTAGTTTGGATTTTAATGGGTTAAGTGATTGATTATTCTCTTTTCATATGATTATGCTTGGATTGTGTGTTTACTCTGAATTTTTAATGCTTATATGTGATGAACATGGTGAGATTGAGAAATTAATCATGTTAGGCTTCTTGGGTAATCACCATTGTAGTATTGGATGCTAGAGATAGATTCAAAAATCAATGAAATCATTTTAGGATTCTTATGCTTAATTAACTTGGATTTGTTAACTTTCAAATTGTTGGGTGCGGAAAGTTGATAAGGAAGAGTAGGGAAACATAGCCTGAGAAGGTATGTTTAACACTTAGGAGAGTTCGATTTACAATCAATGCATATGAGTATGATTTTAGTTTAATTCTTAGGTTTAACCCATAAAATCCGAATGAAGTCAAAACCTACCCATTTTACTTGAATTAATTTCTATTCGTGTTTTTCATCTCGCGTTTCTTCGTTAGTTTTAGTTTAAAATTTATTGTTCAGTTTTAATTAGAAATATCTCCCATAAATCCAAAGAAATCGATTGCTCCAACTTGAGAATAGTAGGAAACTTAGTGCTTAGCTAACAATCCTCGTGGGAATGATACTCACTCATCATTATATTACTTGTGCGATTAGTATACTTGCTACATTTGCATATTGTAGGAAACACGCATCACTCTATTAAGAAATCCTGGAGGTGACCCCTCTTTAGTAGTTTCACAACTTCCAAGCGGAGGGCGATGCAATCGGCAGTGACATGCCCATGGTCTCCATGGAATTCACACCACTTGATGGTATCTCGCTTGGCCCTAGAGTGTGGCAACTTTGTCGGCCACCTAACTACCTTCCCCATCTCCTTCATCATTGCCACTACTTTGGCGAGTTCTATATTCAAATTGTAATCTAACATCTTATACTTGTTAGGTTGGATGAGTGCTCTATTAGTGTGCCAAGCCGATTGACGCTCTTGATCTTGATGGCGTCTATTGTCACGGGTCGGTCCCCTCTTGACTCGGCATGACTCGGCTTGTCTAGAGTCGTGGTGCCTCTTAGATCGGCAGGGAAGATGGTCGTTTGTGTTGCTTGCCTTTACATGATGAGCCTCATTCTCCTCCCATCTTATTTCTACCCAGGCGCGGGCCAGCACATCTTCCATAGTGTTACAATTGAACTTGGTGAGTTCCTTGTATATCTCATCATCAAGGAACAGTCCCTTCCTGAATGCATCCACCACGGTCTCTTGATTGCAGTAAGGGATAGAGATTTTTTCGTGGTTGAAGTGCCCCACATATTCCCACAGGGGTTCTTTGTGATGTTGGTGAATCCAGTAAAGGTCGCCAGATAGCTTTTCTAGCTTTTTGCGGTTGGCGAACTATTCCACGAAGGTGTCTGTGAGTTGGGCAAAGGATGCGATAGAGCTATTAGGGAGGTTGGTGTACAACTAGAATGTTGGTCCCACAAGGCTGGAGCCAGAGCTCTTGCAAATGCATGCTTCATGAAGGTCTTCAGGTATTGCTGTGACAAACATACACTGCTTATAGGATGCTATGTGGTCGTCTAGGTCGGTGGTTCTGTCATAGAGCCTCATGTTAGGGAAGGTGAATTTTCATGGCATCTCTATAACGGCTATGGTGTCTATGAATGGTGAATCTGCATAGCTTTGGGGTTGGCTTTTCTTAAGGGGTGTAGGTACGTCGGGGATGCGTTGGATCATGGCCTCCATATCGGTAAGCCTCATGGTTAGTGTTTGTTCAAGGGGAGTTGGCATGGGGTTGTAGAGGTTACTAAGGAATTGGGGGAAGACATTACGGTTGACATGTATAGTGGAGCCAAGCGGGACAGTTTGGGTAGTAATGTCGATCATTGAATGTACTGGGTATGTTTGTGGGAGAAAGGGGTGTTTAGTTGGGATAAGGTAGCTTGTGCGTGCGTTTCGGTGGTTGAGAGGCTGGTAGGCTAAATGCTTCCAACGTGGCTTAACTCAGCCATAGATGTTAGGTGGTTGGGGTCGTACTAGGACATGGGGGTCTAGGAGGGTGCCATGGTTTGGGGTGGAGAATAGCTATCGGGGATGAATGGATAGCCAAGAGGAAGATGCATGATGCTAGTTCAAGGACCAATCTAAATAATAGAATTGGGTTACTTTTTCTTAGAGAGCTTGATTCTTTACGCAGATGGCGGCATTTTGAGCTTCCAGGGTCTGGTACTTTTTCGTTGCTCTCTTACACCAGTGTGGTGAGAGTTGCAATTTGAGCTACGACATCGAACGCGGGAGTTTCGGTGTTGTCCATCATGGTAGCTGAATGGAGGAAAGAACGAAGATAGCAGGTCGTTGCGAATCGGCTAATTGTTAGGGTCCTATAGTGGGCACCAAACTGTAGACGGTAAAATCTACTGTCAAATTAGAAGGGACTTATCATATGCGATACGAGCCATTGACAATCTAATAGACCTACACAAAGAACACAGAAACGAGAACGTGAAGGCTAGATAGACACCAGTGTGGTGTCTACCGTAGACACTCCGACGCTCAAGTCAACGAGGCTGAGAGAGGCTATTGAGTGAGGGTTAAAAGGAGAGTACTAGAATAATATGACAGTTCTTGGGAGCAAGAACTTAGGAGCTAGTAGGTGTTGCGGGTGATTTCTGAATGAATAATGAAGGAGTTTGCCCTTGTTTATATAGTAAACCCAACAGGTTCGAATCCTAATAGGACTTTGAGTCCTACTAGGTAAATGAGTCGTTCTTAGGAAAGGGATAGGATATCCTTTCCTTATTGGGTTAAAGATAGGATCTACTTGCCTTATTGGGTTAAGCTTAACATTAATGATTACAATACAGGATCCTGATAGAAGTGGAAACAGAATAGGATTTTGCATCCTATTTCGAACTGTTGTGGGCAAGGTAGATTTAAGCGTAAGCCCAACCAGAATTGGGCTAAGGCCTTGGGCCGTGATCTATATATCTTGTATGTTGGGCGTTGTCAGGTCTAATACGATTTTTGGCCCATACAACCATTTGCAAAAGTAACAAAGAGTAATACTACACTTACAACCCAATCTCATAAATTTTCTCTCACAACCCTAACATAATAGTTCGCAATTAGTTAGTTCGTAATGAGTTTCGCTTGTCTAACAATGAGTCTCATCTGCCCAATAACGGGTTCCGTCTTGTGAACTGACCAATTGCGAATTGTTACGTCGAAATTGTAAGAGAAAGTTTGTAAGATTGAGTTATGATCTCTTTAAATACCAAAGTGATTTTGGTCTAATATTTTTATCAAAGAAGACCAATAATGTTTAGTAAGATAGGATCAACAAAACGATGCCCAAATCTATCCCAAAAATATTTCTTTACTTATTATTTTATTAAAATATGAAAGTAGATTTGTTATTTGTGAATTACTGTGTGACTATAATATTTCTTTAAATTTAAGTGATTTATAAGTATTACATATTTCCTCCAAAAGCTCAAGTCTCTTAACCCAAAATCCAGTATTTTTAGTTTCTTTTTATTTAATATTTTATGATAAAGTCCTTATATACATGTATGCATACTATAAGCAAAATTTTATCTAATATCTTTGTTAGAAATTAAAGCAACCATAAGAAGATAAACTTAAATAATAAATACTTGATATTATTATTTTATGACAAGGCAAGGGCATGTTTCCTCTATTTTGGGCAGCACTAGACCAAATGGGAGAGATGGACAATTCTTTCTATTCCACTGTCCAGTGTCCACTCTCATTTCCCTAAAAATAAATGCTTTTTAAGTTTTAACTTAAAATATCCCTTCATTTCATTCCAATGCTAAAAACCAGTGTTCAAAAAGTAGAGTTTTATAACTCATTAATAGTTTATAGTATACTTTAGATTATAATAAATAAATGGATGAAAAATTTAAATAGAAAGATCCTGATCTTTTAGATAATTACATATTCAAGTGAATAAAATCACTAGGCCTTGATGAGGTAGAATATAAATTGAATCAGTCCATAAAAACAAAATGAAAAATACGTCAAATACTATTTTATGACCCAACTCAAAACTTCAACCATTTAATCTCCTCGCCTCCCATCATTCAACTACAAATACAAGATTCAAATACAAAGGCCAAAACTTTTACAAATTTATCATTTGAACAGCATTTGCATTAAGTACGGACATTACAATTTCTTTTTCCTTTCCACCAACAGGCATTGGCGTTGCACTACTTGCGCCTATACTATTAGGCAAATCCAATCTTAGAGTCACAGTAGATCTTGGCGATGCTTTGATATTCGTTGTAATGCATATATAAAGTAATGCTAATAGAATGCATAAAATTTACACTCAATGATCTTAAGGAGTGGGAAAGAAAGATTGTTAGATATTATTCACCGAAACAAAGGCAAAATGCCCCATTGATGCAGGAACCCCTCTCCAGTGGTAACTTCTAGGACCAACAGAACAAGCACTGCCAGCATAGCAGCTCTTCCATTCCAAGTCTCGGCACTTCTAGTCCAACCCCATTCCCAGACTATCACAGGTGGAGGAAGCTCAGTACGTTTTGAATCATATGTTGCCAATAACTCTTCTACACTGCCGAGTGGAACTAAAGACTGCAGAAAATGCCAAACTTTCTATCACACAAAGCTTATGGTACAAAAGGAAGCATCATATACATGAATATTCAAAGACGGTTATCCATCCTCAATTCATAAGTGTTGAGAAATGCAACAAAAGATATGCTATATTCTCCCAAGTGCTGGTTGTTTTATTCCATGAGAAACTTATCTACCAAATATTCAACAGAGTGTCATTACTTCTAAATGCATAGACAAGCTAGACAAGAGGGCCAAATTTCAACTTCCTTAAAAGTAGCTATATATCATTTTAGATTTCTTGATTCGTCAATTCACGGGTTTAGAAAAACAGAAAATGTTATTCTATCTTTAGAGTCCACTTAATAAACCAGGTAAAATGCAGAATAAATTGCAGAATGAATACAGAAAGTACAACATTAACTTGTAAAGTATTGCAGTTAGGTATGCTAATTCATTATTATTAAAACAATAAGACAGAACACAAAATCCTACGATTATTTAAAAAAAAAAAAAAAGTGAAAAAAAAAAAAGCATCTATAACAAAATAAAGCATGTCATGCTTCCTGAGATTTACCCCTATTCTTTTTCCTCCACAGAAGACTGGGCATGGACGGAGAAAGGTATTAAAAAAATATATCAAAGCTAGAACTAAAAATATATTAATAATTATATCTTTTTCCTTTAACTTTATAGGGTTACACATTTCAGGAAGAATATGTAGGGCCATTTAGGCCTCTGCAGCAGCACAGAACTTTTAGTTATTAAAAAAATTTAGCAGAAAATCAATAAGGACTACCTGTCGAGCCTCAAGATTTGAAACAGCCATAGCCCCAACATAAGGAAGACTCTCAATCACAGCATCAGCCAAGTCTGAAATGAAGGTAGGTTCACATCCTAATGCTGGGACACGTCCCCATTTTTCTATACCTGACTCAAGAGCCAACTCTTTGTACTCAACATCAATTTCTTCTAAAGTTTCAATATGCTCACTGACAAAACTGTAAATCAAACAAACACCAAAAAGATAAATATTTCCAGTTCAAAAACCAAAAATTTAATTATAATATAAGGGTAAGAAACTAAAAGTTTATCCACATGCAACAGATATACAGCTAGTCCATGAGAAAGAACAGGTATTACAGTTACAATAATTGAAATAACATTACCTAATAGGGACAGCTAAAAGATTTTTTACTCCCTTTTTTCCTAACTCAATGATTGTTTCATCAGTATAGGGTCTCAACCATTCCACAGGCCCAACTCTACTCTGTAAAACATTTTGCTAACTATCAACAGAGCACCATGATAATAAATGAAATTTAAACCATAAATGACATTCAAAAGAGTTAATACCGTTGATAAGAATTAAAAGTGTATCTAACAACTACAAATTACCTGATATGCAAGAGTGTATGGATTGGTTATCTTTCTCTTTTCTAATTCTTCCATTATTAAATCCACACATTCCTCCATCTCGGCCTTGTAAGGATCACCAGCCTCTTCCACATATGCAAGCGGGACACCATGTGCACTAAAAAATATCATAACCTATAAACATTTTCAAATAAGTGTGCTGGACAATATACAAATATTATTAAGCATCATTCAAAATATTTGAACTTACATGAAAAAAGAGACATTTCTAAAGCAACAAAAGGAATTGATAAGGACAAAGTTTGATACAAGAGAAACATTTTATTACATCTATTAAGAAAATACTAGCCAATGACTTCCTGACTTAATGTCATCCCAGAGGCTCCTCAATTGACCGCTGCAAGAGATCAAGAGTTCTAGCAAACATTTACAGGGCTAGTACACAGAGGAATACAAAGAGTAGTGTATCATAGTTACTTTCTTCTATATTTTAGACCAAAAACAAACTTTAACATAATTGGAGTTTGAGAAGTTCTACAATTCCAAAAATTGGAAAGAAAGTTAGAAAACACATTGACAAAGCAGACGTAATAAGTACAAACAAAATTGTATACACATAACACACATAATCCAAGGCAAAAGAACAGAAGAGCTATGGAGGGGAGCGTTCATTGAACCTGATAGATTCAAATCTTTTCTACCAAATGTTGAGCAAAAATGACTTATATAAGGCACTTGACAAGCCAAAATAAGATAACATTAAAGGTTGTTTCCATTATCAAAAAAAAAAAAAAAAAAACATGGTGACAGAATCTCCATAAAAAATTCCCAAAAGTCATTATATTTGTGAAAGTCAATTTGATAGAGAGATGAGAGATGAGCATGAAAGTCAACTAGGATTACAAAAGCTTTGTAGGATAAAATTAGCACAGATTCTATTAGCTACCAGTCAGCTTCAAGTTAATCTTGAATGAACAATATGTAAATGGCCCAAAATACGATTTCTAATAATTTTTGCTTTTTGTCTTTTGATTCCATGTTTCTCAGCTTACCAGCTCCAGATGGTTCCTTCTAGAAATTATCCAAATCAGGTCAATAAGGAAAAAGCTGGCCTTTAAGTCCTGGTCCTATCAGTTCTAAGCCAGGCATATAAGTTCAAATGCTGCCCTTTCAAAATACCTCTGCTACTGGAAATCTGAAGGTGCAACAGATGATAATTTATATACATATTGTGCTTAAGCTTAAGCAGATCAAGGCTTGAAAATTTAAAAAGATACTATCCTATTAACTTACTATACATAGTTAACATAACGCCAATCTCTATTTTTCCATCTTCAGCTAGGAGCAAAAGTATGCATGAATACTCTATGTAAACATTAACCGAAGTTACCCAACACAGACATTGACATAATGACAAACAAACAATGCTTCTCTTACCTCAAGATCCTTCTAGAGAATATAATACATAAATCAAAGAAATCAGAATAGTACAAACTAAATTAAATTTTTCCTGTCCAATCAGTCAGTTTTCCAGCAAATATTCTAGCGCTTTACAATTTATATTTCCAAGAGTACCATAGACACTTTTCTTAGTATAGATACCATAACAATGGTAAACAGACCATCAAAGCCTACAATGAAATAGTCAACAAGACGGAGTGAAGCCCAGTAACTCAAGAAAAATTGATAGAACAGCAGTGAATCCTGATACTTTCCATGTCAGTTCCCCAATTTTAGGAGGAAGCTATATGGATGTTCTCAATGAAAACTCCATTAGATGACTTTCCTTTTATTTCAATTTTATAAGCATAATGAATGTATTGGAAATTCACTTAAAAATCTTGTATAGTTACACAAGAAAGAAAAGTAATTATGCCTGTCATTCACAGTACATAGAATATATATTATGAATATCAGGATATCAGATTACTTCATCATAAGACATTTATATCGAGAGAGATGATGGATCTATCCAATGAACGAACCTTCTCAGGGTAGTCAAAGTTTTCTAGCTCTTTCTCAATCAAATTTGTCATGGCCTTGATGTATCCCTCGCGTTGATACCATGAAGGTATAACTGTGTGCTGCATGTTTACTAGATACTCGTCCTCCCTGTAAACAAATCCATTACTTATTCAGAAATTTTAGTTAATCTATTGTTACATTATTATGACATGCTAATGGCTTGTATTCATCACCGGAATATACTCTCCAAGAGTCGAAGGCTTGAACCACTAGTTGATATTGAGAATTGCGGATAAAGTGGAAGCACAACAAGCTTTGTAATTCCATCTCTTTTAATCTACAGATAAATAAAAATAAAATAAAAAACAAAATCAGTAGCCAGATTATGAAATTTAATTGATATACAAAGTTCAACTATTGACAGATAGCTTAGACCAAAAGCTTGATTATTTTATTTTATTTTAATTATTTATAATAGACACCAAAAGCTTGATTACCAACACAAAAGCTGAGTTCTGTCCATTAAATTAATGTTTAGGTAAAGGACAAACAAAGCAGAATAACTGATAAAATAAGCTGACATAATTTACGGGGAGAACTAATTTTAAACACTCAAGTTAACTGAAATAACATTGAGTCTACACAATTTAGATTCATAGCCTAAGAGCAACAATAAAGGGCAATAATTGCACACTTACTTCTTTACTCAAAACAAGACTTGTATACAACGAATCAGAAGTCACTTGAAAAAACTAATGCAGAGTAATCTAAACAAATTTGTCGTCAAATCTCCGTATCATTGTTTGCTAGATCAAATGTTAACAGGTGACATTGCATTAAAAAGCTATATTAATGTTCAACCAATATACCACCAGTTAGTAGTTACCCGCTCATGACAAATATTCATGAGTGAAAGAAAAATAAAAACTCAGAATCATCATACCCACAAGTAGCAGTAGCATGACAGAAAAACAAGATCCAGAAGTGAAGTTTCGTAAAGATTAAACATTAAAAATTAATTCAAAGGAAAATACATAAAGATGACAAGATACCTGTTCAATAGCTTCTTCCGTAAATGGATGCCAATAACGCATACCAACATACACCTTTGCTGGCACGTTCTTCTCCCAAAGGGATTTTCTCAATTCTTCAGCCTGTACAAAGAAAAGGATAGCCAATGAAAGGAGAACGACAAGACAGGAAAAAAGCAAAAATGACATCATTCTCACACGGAAGCTCTGTATGGAGTGTGTTTGTGCTACTCTAGCAATGAAAAATTTCCCAACTAACAGTCATAGCACCACAACTCAACTAAATTCTTCCCCAATATTTTTAAACCAACTCAACCAACCTTCGATCTCAACTGTTATCAGTTTCTTGAGTGCTTTTCCTCAGCTCATATGCATATGACTTTTGCCCAAGTACCAGATAATCCATTGTTAGATACTTACAACTTAAGAAATAGCAACTTATTAAACTTCTTTGATCAATATATTCTGAATTCTTCAGGTAACAACCATTGCAGACATAGGATCAAAAACAAAATAAAAATACCAAAAATAATCACACAAAATATTTGTACTAGTATAAATCCTTTTCTTCCACTCATATAATTATGAAAAATGAGAAAAGTTTTGCCTAAATACAAGACAACACAAGGACCTTAATGCATATAACATAAACCAAAACCAAAAGTAAATATTTATCCGTAGACCAATAAAGATGATAGCTTTTTTGATGAAAAATTGAAAATTTTTGAAACAGTCATCTACTCTTCTCTTATTTTGATATTTAGCATTCCAATGAACTATAAATACTAGGTTTTCTAATCCATAGTCATGTGTATGAATCAAAACTGATAAAGGTCTAGATATCAAACAATAAAAACATTCAAGTTATGAAGAAAATACAGCTCATTTAAAAAAAAAAAAGAAGGCATGCCTGTGCATCAGTTATTCGCCGCAACGGAGAGCCACCACCAATTGAGGCATATCCTTCTTTGCTCTTGGGTGCCCTGACAACAGATATGAATTGTGCCAATGGCTTTTGAAGAAAACGAAACAGCCTTGGAAGTCTAATAATATCCTGTTCCAATGAAATGAGTACAATGACTACAACAATGTAAGAAAACTTACTCTTGATTAAACTAATGCTTCATATGGATTCATCTTAAGCCAAACAGCTAAAAATTAAACATACTAGGCACACCCACATCCCAACTTATATACACATAAAAAAAATACTAAAAAGGCGTGGTGACGAAAAAATCAGTTGACATCTATTCACCTTTTAGTTTGGAGAATTTACCAGTGGAGAAGCTGTTGAAATAAATGAAGACAAAATCATTTTGTGACTTCCTTTATTGAATTAAAGTCACCTCTACTCCACTTAGTTTGATCTATTTACTTAAAATATGGAGTAAATAACAATATAAAATATCACGACATTGAGTAGTTCTAGTTTCCAAGGTCTAAAATACTAATCCATGTATATGCAATATATTAAAGAAATAAAAAATTTATAACCAATTCAACTGGTATAAACAACCCTTGTAAGTCCAGCATTAATCTTTGTATCAAAACCAAAGAATATCTACACGTGCATTTTTTTTCTGGCAAATACTTGTAAAGCTAGTATCAATAGAAATTGCCGACAAACTTGTAATTAGAAGCTTAAAATAATTAATGATATTATGCTCAAGCGGTGCATTTTTTTCTGGCAAATACTAAAAATGGCATGCTGCACGACTTTGATAGGGGCAACATTAAGACACTGGCTCTAAGTTACAACATTAGGGAGATTGTAGACTCAAATATAACTCTGAACACTAAAATTTTGTTCTAAAAAAATATATGCCACATTCACAACTTAATAAATCTAAATAAAACAATAACTAAATGAATATTCAACTTTCGTGGAAAACATAATGTGTATGTTACCGGATCAGCAAAAAGGTTAAACAGAAAAGGCTGGACATCTTCGAGAGTTTCGGGACCTCCAAGATTGAGCAACAAAACGCCGATTTTGTCGTCACCAATACGAGGAGGCGCAGGAGCAGCTGAAACATCCTGAGATTTGGAAGTAACCAAAGCTTCTACTCCCACAGAAGAAGAGAAGCATTTACTGAGTGGCGGTTTAGAAAGTAAAGGCTGTGTCTCAAACCACCCATAAGAATATTTAGAAACTACATTATTGGCTGTTGTTGAGAGACAAGAACTAAGGCAAATCCTTTGGGAGGTACACGTCACCCGTGGCAAAACCCTATCAACATTAGAATCGAATGAACCAGATTAATTCTAAACAAATAAATAAATTAGTGGAATATAGAAAAATAAAACAAGAATTAAACAAAAATACCTGGAGTTGGGGGAAAGGGAAGTGAAGCAACGAGGGGGAAATGAGGAGGAAGTGGAACAAGAAGAAGAGGGAGAGGGAGTGGGGGTGCTCATTATCGTTATTTGAGTGGGCTGAGATAAAGATGAAATTGAAGGAAATTAAGGGCAACCTGAGACTGAGAATGGGTTGAATTTGAATTTGAAGTGAATAATAATTTGTGTTAGGTGTTAGTTGTGTTTCCGATATTTTGGGAAATAGAAGAAGAAAGTGGAGGAGGAAGTAGAGGCAGTAAGCGTGTGAGGAGACAGTGACGCATGAGAACTCTATCAAACCAAATCTCTCTCTTATCTGCTTTCTTTTTCTTTTTCGTTTTTTCATGGAACAATTAATATCTTCGACCTCTCCAGTCCTCTAATGCAATTTCAATAACCTCATTGTATAATTTAATCCCACCAACTTTTTATACAAATTCATTTCTGTATATTAAAGTAGAAAATATGTAAAATTATAATATCAATTTATTAAAACCCCTAAGCGTCATGTGGTGTGGACTTAGATTTACAAGGAAATCTCCCAATGTATTCAAAAAGTTTATTAAGAATGGAAAAGGACAAAGCTAATTAGATGAACAACTTAGAGGAATTCAATTAAGTTTAGTTTAGGTATATTTCCTTGTAAAAACATAAGTCTTGGTTAGAAAATTGATTTACATTTGAAACCTCTCAAAAAGTTTGTCTTTTTTATTTCTCAATTTTTGGGCCTAAATGTCAACTTTCAAACTAAAGGGGTTAAACAACCTATCAAGTTTTAAATATTCAAAGTTTAGCTCATTAGGTCAATCGGATAAGTTTTCTTCTGTTGATTTTCAATGTTGGCCTAAAATATCATATTCCAAACTTTGGGGGTTAAACAGTATTTAGAAAAGTTTTAAAATCTTGCAGTCTAACCCATTTAATTGTTGTCCTATTTAGACAAAAGCATTATAAAATGTCTTGTTAAAAAAGGACGACTATTAGGTTGACCAAATGGCTTGTTAAGACAACCGAATAAACCATTAGGTTGACCTAATGTCAGTTGGGAGTTATAACGACACATTAATAATAATTTGATCGAAGAGATCACTAGACGACTGAATTGAAAAATTCATTTTTGTGCATAACAACTATTTTTTTTAAGGATTCTCTATATAAACCCAACCAAATCATATTGAATGAACTTTTGCCATTCTAGAACTTGAAAACTTCATACCACTACTGTTCAAGAGATTTAGAGCTTTCAATTTGCAAATCTTTCTCACTCAAACCTTAAACCCTTGCAACAACATCACTTTTATACTTTGTATAATGGGTTATATTGAGCTAAACACTTGTTCATTCATTCTATTGAGAGAGTTTCTACTATTGTATTAATCAAATCTCGAATTGTAAAAGAGTGAGTTTCACTCTTAGGGTTTTAAGCTTTTCTTGTGAGAGAAAGTAAGTCCTAGTGATTGTGAGAGATCTAATTGACACCTTGAAGACAATTAGGTTGAAGTGCTAGATAGAACACTTGTATAAAGGTTAATGAGTTTTGTATGTTGTAGTCGACAACTCCAACATACAAAACTCATTAACCATTAACCGATGTGTTGTTATAGCCAAGTGATCAATTTTTGGCAACGTATGTGCACCTAATGCAGGTACAATCGCTCAATAAAGAGGCATATGTCATACACACACTAACATGTCTCTCATTTAATCTTTTATAGAAAGTATGTAAAATTCAGTACAAATCTTTCACTTGCCAGCTTTGTTAAGCTTTGATTATTCTCGCACCATTATTCCAAGCAGCCATACCCATCGCTTTCATCTTCAAGCTTGTTTCTCTCAGAGCTTTACCCTTTTCTCCCATCAACTCTTTCATCTTCAATTCCACTCTTTCTGCACTCACCAATTCATCTTCTCCGTTATTTCCTGTGTAGGGGAGTGGTGAGTTTTTTTTTTTCTTTTTTTTCTTTTTTTTCTTCCTTTAGATGGTGGCTATCGATTTAAAAAAAAAAAAAAAAAAAGAAGGTAAAGAATAGGGTTTTATTTCAAAGGAATGGTATACTATGGAATTACAAAAATAATGCAAGGAGATATTTGACATAAGAAAAGTTTTAGAGAAGCCCAAGAAAAGCTTATCATCCTAGAAGTCATAAAAAAGAACTTTTTTATAATACAACCAAACAACCTTAAAAAAAACGAAAATTAAAAGTGCTTTATAGGGTTATATTATATTAGTTCGTATAGAGTTATATTTACTTGGTACATGTAACAGTATTGCATAATATTTGGTAGTAGAGCATGTACCTTTCCAATCCAATGGCAATTTCCTTGAGCTGAGGCCTAGATAATGCACCCCTACTGCCAAAACACAACAACACAACACTTGGACTAGGCTGTGCATCTAACCATGTCATACATTTGGATGATGATTCATGATCTAAAGCACCACCAGCCCGATCTTTGGCGTCCACAATCAATGGTCCAATGCAATATAACGGCGGAGTTTTCCCATTTGTAACACAAGCACCACTCGCAATGGCTCTAATCGCCCGCGCCTCAAGACTCTCAAAAGTGTTCACAATAATCCCATTTGACTTGGTTATACTGTCAGAATAATCCAGGAAGAAATCATAGGCAGGTTGATGCCGATCCAGGAAAGGTTCAGGCATAAAACAAGATTTAATGGGCGGCAATCCTGGAATAAATAAAAGAGAGGTGGGATTGTCCTTAAAACTTGAGATGGTTTTGTTATGTAAAGTAGGCAAGTAAAGAATCGCTGCAAGAGCAGAAGCACAAGAAGTAAAATAGCTATAAGTTGGGATATTGGGGTGATAAGATTTGTAGGAAGTTGAGGTTATAAGACAGAGAATTTTTTGAGTGAGTGAGATTGTGTTTAAGGCTTGGAGGACATTGGAGTTGTTGAGTTTGAGAGGTTCAAAGGGTGAGTTTTGGAGGGAGGGGAGGTGGAAGAATGAGATGTGAGACAGAGTTGATGTATGAGGAAGTATTGGGATTGTGGGAAGGGTTGAGTGGAACAAGGATGCTTATGGAGAAATTGGGATGATGGTGCAAGATTAGCTTGCTCAGTTCAACCATGGAGATCATGTGGTGGAACTGGAAGGCGCTTGGAGATGGGTAAAAAACTATGGTTTCTTTCATTTTGGGAGATGAGATGCAGAGGTTTGAGAAGATATAGGGACTCAGAGAAAACAAAACCGTATATATAGCAGGGTTGGTAAAAGGTACGCAGGTTGAAGATTTATGGAAATAGCTTTAAGATAGTCTTTGTCGCAAAAAGATTAAAATACATTTAAGAGGTTTAATGAGAAGGCATTTGGTTTCTTGCAAGTATTTTTTCTTTGTCCTTCAAACTTCGGTGGAAGATTCATGGATGTAGCTTTGAAGTAGACTTACTGGAAAAAGGAAATAAAATACTGAAAAATTTTACTTTTGTCAAAGAATAATATCAAATTTTGATCATGAAGAATTAAATAGACGTCATATCATTTGAGATGTTAAGATAATAAATGATATTTCAACACGACATGAATGATTTGAAACAATAAATTTAAGATTTCATTTTAAAAAGTATAATGTTACTCATAAATAGTGATTTAGAATTGGAGGCATTTGATATGTACATAGACTTCATATTTTCTGATCAATATTAGATAAAAATCTTTTTTGCATCAGCTTTCTTGGTTTGGACGGAAGAAGTAATGTGACTCGACTATTATCAAATCCTATTCCTATCATCACATTTCATGAACTATATCAAAATCGAAATCTTTCTCCCAGGCCCTGATGTTTTTGTTTGAAGACGACGGTTTATTGAAAGGTTTTATTTGACCTTTTAACAAGTACAATATTAGAAATAGAAGAATACCATTTCCATTTGCGGGCTAAAAGTCATTCATCAAGGTTTCGGTTCATTTTATAAAACATTTCATTTTTATCTAGTTTCTTCGCAAAGGAGTTTATGGTCGAGCAAGTCTTGAAGTTGGCGGGTGACCATGTTTCAATAAAATCATAAATATATAAAAATTAATAATACAAAAATAAATTCCCTTGGCCTTTACAGCCCCCATTCAAATGGAAAAAAGAGTCATTGCTTGCTTAAAAGTGCAAACTATGAGACAAAGAACCTTTATAACTAAAACAAATACTCTTTATATGGAAGTATTCAACTATATGCTTAACCCTAACAACACCAGACACTGAAAAAAAAAAAATGAAAAACACCAGCCCTTGCATCATTAAATTACAAACCACATAACCCATTTAACAAATAAATCTCTCTCTTTTCGGCTGTCATTCACTAAAGTCTAGGCTTCCACTGCGAGAACTGCTGGCGTCGTGACTGTGTAATGAGAGGCCCCTCATGTGACCAGCAACACCAGAACCGTCAACCTTTTTCTCTTGAAAGAACTTCTCCCTCTCGACATGTTTTGCAGGTGGAGGAGGAAGCACAACCGTTGGAGAGTGTGCATTAGTTTCATGTGGTGGATCTGCCTGCACTGGACGTATAAGTGGTCGGTTCAGTCTATCAGCCGGAATTGCAGATCCAAAGAAGCCCAACGGAGGTCGCTCTACTGAGTCCTCATCATCTTCAGGCCTTGCACATGCTTTTCCTTTTCGTATCCTGTCAAGTTTTGGAGTCAAAGATAAAACAATATGCACTGCCCACAAAGAAAACAGCAGTTGAACCAGGAATATCTTCACCAATTAATGTAGAGGGCTAATGCACATAAACAAACCTTCGGAAAAGCTGCTCAGCCTCCTCTTCTTCCTCTTCTTCATGATTAACATGATTGGCAGTTGACGTAGACCTAGCCGAGAGATAGGGATCCTCATGGTTAAAATGATTGGCAGTTGGGGTAGGTCTATTGGCAGTTGGCATAGACCTACCCGAGAGAAGGGCATCATGTCTTGTGAGAACTTTCTGGAGCTGCTCATTCAAGTCAATTGCTCGAGAAACCACCTTCTCATCCCTTGTAAAGGAAGACGAATCAGTTCAAGACAGCAAAGAAAAACACTAGTGCACGCAAAGTATGTGCATCTCTTGGATATTGCTTTTCGAAAGATTTAGAAGGAATGACAACTAATGTTATCCCTTCTACCATTTAAAGACAAGAAGAAGTGTTCCTTTTTTTCTCTTTCTTATTTTTGGGTACTCAAAGGGATAAAATTTTATTTGATCAAAAAGAAGATACATAAGGATGGAAAATATCCAGAGACGAGATGAACTCAACAAACAACTATCTCCAGTCCAGCTTTCCATAGTACTAATGCATGCCGTTGTCACCAGATACCAGTATTCTGTAGGTATTTGCATCAGGCAAATTGCCAGCAAAATCACCCTTTTCTTTTTTAATATGGTTCCCTTCTAGAGGAAGAATTGGTGCTCTTAAGACAATGTAGCAATAGTTCTAGAATAACATTCTTAAGAATTATTAAGGGAAAAATGATTTATCACCTCTTTTCTTGCCCTAAAGGCATATGATCAATTTCCTTCTTCTCTCACTTGCACAGAAATTTCATCCAGGACTAGTAACATCTATAGATGACAACTTAAATTAGAACAGAAAGGACTGCACACACAAAAACAGAGGTTGATTCCTCTTTATTTCTTCCCAATCACACTCGCACACACCTCGTCAGGAAATAGCAATATCCTTCACATGAAAATGAAAACCACACACAGAACATTCCATCTAATTGTAGTTTAGAAAGGACACTGCACATAAAAATAATGAGCAACCTCCTCCCTCAAATCATACGTGCTTGCAGACACACACTCATGTTTGAGTTTATAATAATGTCATCAAAAGATAATTAATTACCTTTAGTGCAGACATGCAGTTGCAAATAGTGGGTAAAAAGCAAATTCATTATGTATAATTAGAGCCCTAACGGAATCCAGGAACCCTACTCACCGAGAAGTTATTACAAGATGCATGACTCGCTGCTTTTGGAAAGAACACTGTTCTACAAGATCAAGTGTAAACTCATCCTTTGCACCCTAGAAAAACACCAAAATAGTCAGCATGATAAATACTCATTTACAATTCATAGATGCACTTCAAGACAACAAATATCAAGCAGTTACTTTCATTCATAAATGTAATCATGATTGCCAACATACCTCCAGATTGTGAGAATCAACTGCATCGAGGACTTCTTTCAAAACCTCCAATGCATTACTAGCCTTCTGAATGATACTGTATTAAAAAGGTACAAACTGAAAAATCATTTGTGGCACGATGTAATAACAATAGAAGTATATATTTAGAAAAAGTTGAAAATTAATTATTTACGTAGTAATTTACCAACTAAAAAGATGCATTGATGTAAATTTCTGATACAGAAAACATACTCTCTTCTATAATTTTATTGATATTTTATTATTTTGTAAGAAACAGAATATGGACAACCTATTCAAGACTTACCATGCCTGGGAATTAATCATGATGACACTTTTGTACAGATTCTAAAGAAACAATGCCACATACAAAATCAACTTCATAAAATCACAATTGCGCTTAAGACTCTGGCAACCCAACACTAAGCTTGTAGGTACAGTACACAGATAATCCAGGAAACTGTGTTCTTCAGACTTTGCCAGAGACATCGTTAGTCTCATGTCTCATAATATTAATTACGCCTTACAAATTTGAATAGGATTACAGAATAAAACATCAAGTACAGAAAACCTAAATTAATATTAATATAGATAAGACTTCAAGACTCTTTTAACAAGGAACTAGCTTGTAGGCATCATCAACACCTTCTAGGCAGATCAATATGTCCTTGTAGTTGGGTAACCATTGATCGCAAAAGTTTAAGCTTTAAAAGATTAAAAAGGAGATTAATGATAATATTTAGTCTATCATGTTACCTCATTTTCACGGTCAGATTTTATAAACAGATTAGTCACATGGATCTCAACACATGGCCCAATCTACAATATAGATTAATTAACGAAAAGAGGAAATCAAACTCAAGGCCTCTTTGATCAACCTAGCTCTAATACAATGTTGAGACGCCATTAATCCCACAAGGCTCAAGTTCATAGGAAAGAGCTTAACAAATTATCTAACTCTAAAAGTTTATTTTATCAAATAGTACCTAACTCTACAACTTTATATTATGATTTCTTTTTTTTTTTTATAAGAAATTATTAACATTTCTAATTACACCATACTTAAATATTTTTTTCCTCAAGCTTTTATGATGAATGTATATGAACCCTGCAGACCATTCACCATAGCGAGAAGATAAAAGTATTAAACATCAATATCACACACACATCAATAGGTACATTTTCTATATGATTAACGAGTGAATATGATAGGAATCCACTCCAATAACTTAACAATTTTGGGCTAGGCCATGGGTCTTTCATGGGCTTGGGTAGAACTCTCCTTGGAAAACCGGCTTGCCAAAGGAGGGTGCCTAAGCCTTTATAACCCACATGCCCACCCTTTTTCCCTTTCAATCTGAGATCCTAACATTCCACTACGCTTCCGCAACCGACATCCATGTCGGCCTCTTTACCCTTTGGGTGACTACGCGGATCCCCTTTCCCTCAAGCCTCCATGCCCTTTCTCAGGGTAGCAGCCCGGGCCCAAGGTCAGCCTGCCACATAGGCGCACGATCATGCTCTGATACCAATTGACAGGAACCCATTCCAATAACTTAACAATTTTGGGTTGGGCCATGGGTCTTTCATGAGCTCAGGTAGAACTCTCCTTGAAAAACCGGCTTGCCAAGGGAGGGTGTCCAAGCCTTTATAACCCACATACCCACCCTTTTCCCTTTCAATGTGGGATCCTAACACAATCCCTTCCGGAGAAGAACAACTTATACAATTGCACAACTTCATAAACAGACAAAAAAAAAAAAAAAAACCAACTCGACCTTCAACTGTCAACATCTAACAAGCAATTGTCACGTGTGCATTATAAACCAAAGATAATTTTTTCACTGACCCACCAAACCCTAGATAAAGTGGCTACAAAGAATGCATAGTAGAATAAGTGATAGCAATTCCTTTATTAGCTCTTTATTGTATCTGTTGCATATATAAATCCACCTTTGTCAAACATCAAACTGCAAGAAGTGCCCAAAGTGCCATTGGGCGATAATTTTCATTCTTTTCTCTTGGATGTGTGAAAATTTATAATTGTTATGCATGGAGGATGGGTGGGAGGAGAGGTGGGATTGGCGTTTTTGAGGGATGGCTCTTTTTGTACATTATTGATTGTCAACTTGGATATCCAATGAGCCCCAGCAACAGGTAAACAAAAATAGAATCCTTGAGTTCTTTTGCCCCACTTCCATATTGAGGTGGCATCATGGTTCAGAAGTCCACAAAAGCAAACATTAAAATACATGTAAAGCTGTATACAATAAATTCATAACTAGGAGGCATGAAAACCAAGCTAGATCAGAAAAGGAAGCAGAAGAAGAGACAAATGGCAGGTAGACCACTTTATGTCAAATAATATCATGCCTTATCAAAACAACAAAATGTAGCTAATACCTTATGAAAAAATGTCTTAAGGAAAAGATAAAAACTGTAAGAGAGCTGAGCATGTCAACCTCGCTCATAAACATAGTTATATGTTCAAACTGAAATTCTAACATAAAATTTTAGGCAACATCAGTTGACAAAAAAGAAAACCAAAAATGTTTTCAAAACTTCTGCTAAAGTTACCTAGATTCCGGAACATTCTCTGGCTGTGGAGCAAGAGCACTCGCTTCATGTCTAGAGGCGGCAAGTTCTCTATTAAGCGTACTACTCTCCTTTACTTGTGAAGAAGGATGACTTGGTGGTACAGTATTAGATCTTTGAGGAAACTGTACGCCTGCACTCTGGAAAATATGAAGAAAGACAATGAAAAAGAAGAAATTCAGTTGCATAACAACTTAAATTGTATTTCATTTGCTAATAAAGTCATACTATCTGGAAATATAAAATAACACCAACGTATAGTTAATGGTTCTCATCAGGAAAGTACATCAAAAGACAACAACAATACTGGACAGAAAAGAAACTACAACTGAAAAGACACCCAAGCAACTAAACCATCTATGCACATAAAGACGAGTCAATAACAAGAAGTTAAACGATTTAGCAGTTGCGAAGTCAAAAGATAAAATATAAATAATGGGAACAAGGAACAAATTCTGTTTATCGAATATTTCCCACTAATATATTTAGAAAAGGGGCAAAAAAAAGATACGAAAACAGAAACCACATTAAATGGAAAGGAGAGGAAAACAGAAATCACCCAAAATACAAAGGAACACAAATTCAAATAATTATAGTGAATCCTGAACTCTCACATTAAATGCTGAACTTTTCAAAACAATGCTCAAGAACAAAAGCCACTAAGACGCTGAAACTTAAAACCTCTGAATATGACACCTTGAAATGAAACATTAAAGAATAACTGCAGAAGTATAAGATCATATATCTCATCAAATCACAGTGACTGTATAAAAGAAAAATCTAGCCAAAGCCTCTCAGTTCTTGAAAAAGTAAATCCTTGTCATCGTTAAAATTTGTTTTTCAAAATAATTCAGAAATGAAAACAGACACACCCTTAGGCCTCAGAAATATCAGGACAGCCAGTGAGTTTAGTAAAACAATCGATTCTAATCAACAGAATATTCATTGACAAAAAGTCATGCATGAAAATTTCCAATGATATAGCAGATAGAAATACTTCGAATTGAATATCTTTAATAAGCCACATAAAAACAAAATAGCATATTGCAATACTAGAAATTAAAAAAAAAAAATTATGAATGATTAAAACACATAAATATCCATTTTAGCTTCTTAAAATTATGTATTAGTACAGATATGCTTTCATGCTTGTACAATATACTAACGATTATTCTCACCATATTTGAACTAAAAATATATTAAAGTGAAAACTCTATGGAGCACACATGTTCCATTTCTTGAACAGTAAGAATACAGGTTTACACAAGTTTCATGTCTGTACCTACCACCAATTCATAATAAGCATTATAGTATTGGGGGAACTTTCCAGAAGCACCGCCAAGAGAGGTCTGTGTGGCATCTAGAAGAAGGAATACCCTCTCTCGTACTGGCATATCTGACTGTAACAAAAGAAAGAAAAGGAAATTAAATAATAACAATGTGAAATAATCAGAGGTCAACAATTGTGCATGAGGGAACAAGTTTGCACCTTTTTCTTCACTATCTTCACAAGAATAGGGAGAATCCCTGCATCAATCACCTGTTTATGAATATGTTCTCCAATGTTGTTCATCAACATCTCTAACAACTGCAAAATCATATAATAATGAAAGAGGTGTTAATAAGCCATAGAAGAGCAGAACTCTACAAGGTTTATTCTGAAGTTTTGATAACCAGATGTTAGGAAGAAAATCATGCAGCCATTGCAGTGTCCTAATGTTACTTCCTATAAAAAGGAAAGAAAATATCAAGGCTCCACGAATATAGCAAAACAAAAAGCAAGAGCTCACCTAACGCATATAATTGAGTGTTTAGTTTTTGCTCCCCAGCGTTTTTTGATGGCTTTGATCACCTTTAGCTTGCCTGAATTGTAAGAAACCACAAAACCATGTCAAGGAAATTACAATAACAACTCAACAAGAGAAATTGGATATTTGGTTGTCCAAAAACCAGAGCAAGCATGCGTAACCACAAAACTGCGCACATAAAGATGAACATTTTGCTTTAACAGCTTTATAACAAAATTATTTGCATGATACTCAAAAGTTCAAAAAACCAAGCTAGGAAGATATTACAAGTGAGGCAGGTATAAAATCAGCCTGAGTCTGTAACCAAACCTATTTCATCAACAAAACCAGTTGAAATAAATAGGCAAAAATGAGAATGAACCCAAACCATACATAAACATTATATGTATCATTTCTGATAAAAAAAAGCGAGAAAGTGTTCCACAAGTTATACCTGTGGTCACGGCAACTAATCACACAATTTCAATATTTTTTGCCCAATCCACTTCAGAAAGTTTCTCACTCGTTGCAGAATTAACAAGCTCAGATGCCATCTTTTGTTTGTCACTGAAGATTAAATCGAGCAGAAAGTAGAGCATGACTGTTATGATCCAAGCACAATTACAAACAAAGTGAAACAGAAGGGTGAACAATGTCAATTGTAAGCTAAAGATTTGGTAAAGCAGAAAGATTGATAAACAGACATATTGTCCACCAAATCTTAGTATTTGAACAGCAGCTCAGACAAGCATAAAGAATATATAATTTAAGCATCCATAACATGGAATGAAATCATCCTTTAGATTCTCTCGAGCATGTAAAATGCCTATCGAGCTTGCCTTGTCCATGCCTCCGGATTCCTACAAAAACTAGATGCCTGCAGCTACTCCCAGTATAGTTAATCTCAGTATTAGTGCTTAAATACCATAGTTGAGCGTACTTCACTTAGGCTTTTGAGTTAAACCAAATTTTAAAAAGGTATTATAACCAAGTTGACTAATTGGTCTCCATGTTAATCCCTCGATTGTATTAATTAATTACAATAAAAAAGTTAGCGGTTATATTAGCATTTGTTGTTGTGACAGTGTTTGTTCACGTTCCACATGAAAGTGCACACTATAGCCTTGGGTTCAGTGGTTTTTTTACAAACATGGGACATAAAACAGTAACAAATCTCTTAGCATTTGAGAAAATAATCTCACAGTTGAGCAACACCATTCATAATTTAGTGTAACCATCAAATTTTCCTAAAAAAGACCACAAAAAGCCCTTCAAATATCGAGTAAATATAAAGAGTGATCAATCTTTGAATTTCCAGAAGACATTGTCATAGTTGTAGGGAATCACTCACAATCACGTAATCATCACAATATCTCTTATAAAAACTGCAGGGTAACTAAAAATCAAAGCAAACAACAGCATGAAACTACAAAATCATGGATTAGTATGTACTAATGTGAAAACACATAAGGATCATAAGAAATGGCAGCATACACACAATGTTGGAGTTCTTTAGAGAGAATCCATAATATACAACAGAATTCACATTATACAAACTTAAAGTAGATAAAGACAATTGAATGAAAACTTCCTCCTTTAACATTGTCTTTTACAGGAGTGATTTTCCAATTTAGAATCACAAATTATTTTTCCAAACAAAATATATTCATACAGATGATAAGAAACACAAAACGCTGCTAGAAACAAGACAGTAATAATCATGTAACAATATGATGCGAAAATAAACCACTGCTCAGCACATTTTTCTATATTTGGTATAAATTAAACATACTTTAATCAACAGAAGAGAAAAACTAAAAAAATGCCGGTGTTCGTAACAACTTGAACTTGAACTGCATCATTGCTACTCTGCAACAACAAAATCTCAAGGTAACAAAAAACCTAATAGTGCATCATTAACTTTTAAGATGTGATAAATATAGAGCAAAGAAACCCAAAAAAAAAAAAAAAAAAAAAAAAAGGATCGAACAACCAACAAAAACCAATAGTGCCTGAAAACTATATACTACACAAAAAACTAAAAACATGATCCATATGCAAAGTTTGTTGAGACGATCTTGGGCCAACAAAACATATATACCTCGTCCAGAAACATTTAGAACTTGCATACTAAGTTTACAGTAAATGTGAACACATTTCAGTCTCACATCATACATCCATACCGAATTGTGACTAATTCTCTATCAATAGATACCCAGTCAAACAATTTCAACAAGATTTCAAATGCAACTCCAGCAGCCCAATACACATTTCAAACATATGCTCAAATGAAAATATAGTACAGCCATAGTTGAAGTTTGCTCAAATGAGCAAGCAAAAAACAAAAAAAAAAAAAAAAAAAAAAAAAAAAAAAAAAAGCCAATGAAACAACCAGAATGTTGAAATTATTCTCTAATTATTTCAAAAAACCAAGATATTCAACATCAAACAATTGTTTTCTCACCATACATCTCTTTTGTTATAGGCCACAGCATAAGTAGCAAGAAAAATTTTCAAAGCTTACTGCTACTTATTTAACTGTTTTAATACAAATGAACTCCATACTGCAAATCCAAACGATAACAAACATAAAATTTTCAACTTCATTGATTTACTGACTTCCGGCTATTTTCTCATCAACCAAACAGAACTTGAAGAACCAAAGCAACTTACAACCATAAAATTCTAGCACTCAGATCCCAAACTGTTAAAAGAAAACTTAACAAAAGATCTCAAATAACAAACACAAATAATTAACAAATCAAAACATCACACAAATAATTAAAAAAATGAAGAAAAAGAAAAAAAAAAGAGCCAAACACGACGACGTACCAGTGAAGACAGTGAGGAACATGGAAACGACGTTAAGAAAATTAAGAAAGAACTGAAAACCCTAAATAGCTTCAGCATGAGGTATAATGAAGCATGACTTGAAAACTATAAGAGACAGAAAAGGAGGGTGAAATGGAAACGAGAGTGAAAATAGTTCTGGGGGTTGTAGGCAGCTCTTTTTCTTTTATAGCTTTATCATAAGCTTTTCTAACTGCAACAAATAACAACTTGCTAATTTTTCACAAAACTTTATCATATACGTTAAAACCTCTCATAATTATATTTATATAGGAATAAACTCATATAATCATAAAAAATTTAGTTTCAATTTATGATAGTTTATAATAAAAATAAATTCTACATTGTAATAAGTTATAATTTTTCTAATTCTCACCTTAAGAAAGTGTTCTCTACATAGTAATAATTATCTATATATTACAAAAAATATTATTATGTAAAATTAAAGGTTTAAAATGAAATAAATATTTATTTAAAATTATTTAGAATAATGATTTATATTTTAGAGTTGTTATCACATTTTTACTTATGAGTACGTAATAACTCGTTAGCATTGATACTTTCTTGTTGAGCCAAAATATTTTAGTTTCTCAAGCGTTTAGGCCTCAGATATAAGACTTTTGTATTTTCGTACTATTATCCTTAGGATTATTTCATTTTCTTCTTGTTAATGCAACAATGATTTCTCATTTGGTTAAAGTATACAAGATTTGTTGTTCATTTGGATAATCGAAGAAGACATTAAATCCATTATCAGTATAGTGAATTGTCGAATCTGATCACTCAATTCTATAGTGACTCTTTTATCTTCTCATCCACTTTATTTATAACTTACATTCATTGACATTAGGGGTCCTTATTTTGTAGCGCTTAAACACATTGACAATGTCAATGGCTTCACATCAATTGATCACGCATCAAACTATATTTACAATTCCATCATGACACTATTTTTGTTGGTTCTAAGAAACTATCTTTATACATTTCAAAGTAGCAATTGAAACGTTGTATTGAAATTCTAAATTACTAAATATGAATTGAAATCCTATACTGTACTACTAAAACATGAATTATAATAAGAAACAAAACTATATTTTGTAACTACACTTCCATTAAATTATAACCTCTATAGTAATAAAATTAATAGTCTCAACATTATGACTATAGAAAGGTTATGTATTATGAACTTCTCTAATCTTTTTTATTTAATACGTCTCTTTCTATTTTATCATATAATTTTTAATTGTCTTGATGGATGTACAAATTATAGTTTCTTTAAATAAAGGGAATTTTATTTTGTGGTTAAAATGAGGTGTTTTTGGTAAATGATAAAAACCTTCTTAAATGAGAAAATTAGCATTAAAATGACAAAAAATAATTGCAAATATTCCGGTCTATGTTTAGATGTTTGAAGAAAATTTGAGAAAAAATTGAATGGCATTATGTTTGGTTTACCATTCTGATGTATTTTATAATAATATTTTTGAGAAAGTTAAGTTAAGTTATCTTTACGAATAAAGGTAATTATTAATATTTTAAATAAAATAAAATATAATTAAATTTTGTGAATATTAAAATAAATTTTTATTTTTTTTATTTTTAAGATAAGACAGTGGAATACATTAGGGTAAACATAGTGAAGCAAAGTCCCATAAATTATATTTAGGTGAAAGATTGGACAGACAGGATGAGATGGTTTCGGGGAATTAAAAATTCATCCCTCGTGTTTGGCTTGAATCCCTTTAATCCAGAAGATTTTTTTAGTAACATGTTCATCCTTATTACAAGAATAATACTGTACATACTAACGGATTTTACTAACTAATATACTAACCTTTGTTAAAATCACATATAGTACCTGTACTATGTTTTAAGTTAGTACACTAGTTTGTAGAATCCATTAGTACCCATAGCATTATCCTTATTATAATATTAATATTAGAGTAATACTACACATACATCATTTTCATATTACATTTTTC